TCTTGACCATGGCTATGATTTCGAGGTGTCGATGAGAAGAGTTATGAACAAAATTGATCGTGTGAGTTTTGATACCAAAAATGTATATAAATGCCTGAAAGAAATAGCTGAGCAGGAGCAAATGCTGATGGACGCACATAAAGTAAAGCTTCCTGAGTTTCCAGAATCGAGGAATTTTCAGGGTGAATTAGATGAACCGTCCAATACTCTGTTACAACAATTGTCGCCATCGGTTTTAGATGAATATGAACCGATATATACGATAGGTGATGGAAATTGCCTGTATCGGGCAGTTTCTTTTGCTTTGTTTGGTACACAGGATCATTTCCTTCATCTTCGCTTCTTAACTATTATTGAAATTCTGTCTTATCCCCAGTGTTACGACATCGAGAGTACAAATTTACATCCAGTCCTTAAAGACTTTAGGATCGTTACTCTGGATCTGAAAAACGTACTACACTGTGCAGCGACAATTGGCAGCCATTGTGGGATGGATTGCTTATTGGCTCTTAGCGCCGCATTGAAAGTTTCATACAACTCCTTTCAGCCTTCTACCGGCCCAACAGACATGCGATCTCCCGCTTATTCAATAAGTATCCAGGGTAGGGAGGTTTCTTCGAGACGGGGTCCATATTTTCACATAATGTGGACTACAACAAATGTTCCTGCAAATTTTATTGATTTCGTACCCAATCACTTTGTTCCTTTATTAAAGAGACACCTTCGACAAAGTCAAAAATTGTCCTTGAATACTTGCATTGATCTGGAGGGACCAGGTCTGGAGATTTCAAATTGCCACACTGAAGAATCTGAAAATATGATATCCAGTATGATTTATGCGCAGACTGACCAAAACACTGTAGACGAGGGCTGGCATGAGCTTCCGTTTGGTATTTTCTTGGGTATTTCAGAATTGTTGAAAATATTCAAAAACAAAACCGTGAAAGTTAGTCCTAGAATACCAACGGGGGAGAAAAACAACTGTTATTTCATAGTTGATCACAACGAAAACATACGCAGAAAAGAGAAAAAAGTGAAGCAAATTTTCGAAGACGATTGCGGAAGCTGGAAACAAACCAATTATACCTCCGCTCTGTATTTACTTATATATATTTATGAGAAAGGGGGGAGATTTTGCATAAGATCGCGCCACGGAAAAAAACTGTCATATCCAGTTATTGAGCCACAACCCAAAACGAGTGAAATATGGAGAATTGGACGTTATTATGCTCGGCAACCGACTGGCTATGAACGACGAATCACTTGGATCGATGGCCACATTGGTATGAATGTGGCAGTAGTGGAATACAAGGGCATATTTCCTGGTCATACACCCCATGGAAATGCAAAGATAAACCAACAGGCGTACATAAGAACATCAGCAGACGTTATGGAAATATTATATCTAAATGTGAAGGCGTTACTGCAAAAAAACTTTATGTTAATCTTCAACAACATGCGGAGGAAAACCCCAGAAATCTAAGACAAATCGAAAATGCGAGGTTCAATCAAAAAAAGAAAAAGCGGAGCAGGAATAAAAATATATCATAAAAATTACGCTGACGAGATATTAGAGGTCATTAACATGGCGCAAACAAACGAATTTGTACAAAAAGTAACCCACAGTAAAATGGAATCTGTTAATGTAACTTTATTCTTTGAAGAGCAATGCTTGGATCTGAAGCGGTTTTGTTGCTCAGGTAAAACTATTCTTGGGATTGATAAAACTTTCAATTTAGGACGAGTCTACGTCACAGTTACAGTTTTCAAAAATCTTTCCTTGCTGTCATGTAAATCCGGTGAACACCCATTGTTTTTCGGTCCTATATTTTTACACCACAAATCTGACAAATCCACATTTACAGAATTTTTTACCAACATAAAATCCAAACTTGGTAGAAAGTTGGATAACTTGACCGTTGGTACTGATGACGAATCGGCCCTACACGGTGCTTTCACATCTTCTTTCCCGGATTCAACTCATGTCCTTTGCAGCAGACACATGAGGGAAAATTTAATAAATTATCTTAAGGATAAGGTCGGTACCAGTGAAAACCTCCGGAGATCAATTGTTAGTGAAATTTTCGGTTTGTTTCATTGCCAAAATGAAAAAGAGTTTGATTCAAAGACTGAAGAAGTCGTATCGTACTGTAAAACCAGGTGCAAAGGTATTGTTGGATACCTCAAAACAAGATTTCTTCCGTTATTTAAAAATAATATTTGGCAAAAAAAGTCACATACAAATGGATACCTGTGGACAAATAACAACAACGAGTCCTTAAACCATGTATTGAAATGCGTTGCCAATTGGAGACAACATAAACTTCCTGATTTAATTCACATGCTTGGTGATATAATCAAGTCGTCGTATACCGATGTGAGAAAGGCACTGTTGAAGCAAGGGCCATACACGTTGTACGGACCATATGCCCAATTTTCGTTGTCCGTATACACTTGGATGCTGATGACGGAAGTCGAACGAAATAAATATTTTAAAGATTTTTTACAACGTGTTCAGTTGTCTTCCCCTGATAAATGTCCTCCTCGTCTTTGTTCATCAACTGATGGTAAATTGCAAACAATAACTCCATCACAAACAGCTGGATTGAAAAAGGGAGAAAAAAGGAAGAGAAAGACTCGAAAAATATAATTTTTCATTAATGACTATTAAATATGTAGACCTTGATAGAGTCGGCCCTTGACACAATTCGTTAATATGCCTAAGCAATAAACTTATTTTAATTGCATCAAGACATATACTAGCTTTTTTTTCAGATATGCATGGCTATATTAAAAATGTAGTAGATGACATAGCCATTTTAGTGGACATAGCGGAATAGCCATTTTAGTAGGAAAATATCGGAGTCGCAATTTTAGATGGGACATAGCCATTTTAGTACGGACATAGTCATTTTAGTAGGAAAATATTGGAGTCGCAATTTTAGATGGGACATAGCCATTTTAGTGGGACATAGCCTTTTAGGAACATAGCGGACATAGTCAAAATATCGGAGTCGCAATTTTAGATGGGACATAGCCATTTTAGTAGGGATATACGGACATAGCCATTTTAGTAGGGACATAGCCATTTTAGTAGGGACATAGTCATTTTAGTAGGAAAATATCGGAGTCGCAGTTTCAGATGGGACATAGCCATTTTAGTAGGGACATAGCCATTTTAGTAGAGACATAGCCATTTTAGTAGGGACATAGTCATTTTATTAGAAAAATATCGGAGTCGCAATTTTAGATGTGACATAGCCATTTTAGTAGGGACATAGCCATTTTAGTAGGAAAATATCGGAGTCGCAATTTTAGATGGGACATAGCCATTTTAGTAGGAACATAGCGGACATAGTCATTTTAGTAGGAAAATATCGGAGTCGCAATTTTAGATGGGACATAGCCATTTTGGTAGGGATATAGCGGACATAGCCATTTTAGTAGGGACATAGCGGACATAGTCATTTTAGTAGGGACATAGCGGACATAGTCATTTTAGTAGGAAAATATCGGAGTCGCAATTTTAGATGGAACATAGCCATTTTAGTAGGGACATAGCCATTTTAGTAGGGACATAGCGGACATAGTCATTTTAGTAGGGACATAGCGGACATAGTCATTTTAGTAGGGACATAGTCATTTTAGTAGGAAAATATCGGAGTCGCAATTTTAGATGGGACATAGCCATTTTAGTAGGGATATAGCGGACATAGCCATTTTAGTAAGGACATAGCGGACATAGTCATTTTAGTAGGAAAATATCGGAGTCGCAATTTTAGATGGGACATAGCCATTTTAGTAGGGACATAGCCGTTTTAGTAGGAAAATATCGGAGTCGCAATTTTAGATGGGACATAGCCATTTTAGTAGGGACATAGCCGTTTTAGTAGGAACATAGCGGACATAGTCATTTTAGTAGGAAAATATCGGAGTCGCAATTTTAGATGGGACATAGCCATTTTAGTAGGGATATAGCGGACATAGCCATTTTAGTAGGGACATAGCGGACATAGTCATTTTAGTAGGGACATAGTCATTTTAGTAGGAAAATATCGGAGTCGCAATTTTAGATGGGACATAGCCATTTTAGTAGGAACATAGCCATTTTAGTAGGGACATAGCGGACATAGTCATTTTAGTAGGAAAATATCGGAGTCGCAATTTTAGATGGGACATAGCCATTTTAGTAGGGACATAGCGGACATAGCCATTTTAGTAGGGACATAGCGGACATAGCCATTTTATAACTACCGAAATTTCCTATCAAAAACCACCTTCATTGCATAATAATGTCTGGTATAAGTTACACTGCTCTTTCCCAGTTTGTGGACTGTAATTGGAGAATGAATAAAGTCTTTTTATTTTTCGGTGGATAAGGATGTATAGTATATTATTCCTCAATTAATGGTGGTATACCGGTAGCAGACTCATCTCTATAATAAAATCTGAGCGCTTTGGATCCAAATTGTCATGTCTCTAATTGGCTGATTCTGTATAGGGACTGCCAGCTATACTGAAACCATCGCTACTGATTTTTAACTTTGGAAAATTACGTTTGTTATCTTGGAGATTTAGAGCTTACCGTACGAACACGTGTCCGTCGCGTCGCTCGCGTTGTCTCGTGATCAAAAAGATTCCGGAATCATCGCACGTGATTTGATCTCGTTACAACCGCATATTTATAGCGAGATTCTATTTGCACAATAAATATTTTCAATTCTAATATTTCACTATTTTACATCATTACTCAAGTAGTTGAAAATTAACAGCAGTGTTGAAGTAAATATTTATATGCAGTTTATAATCAATCAAGAACGCGCCGCTAATGTTTAAACAAACAAAAAGATAAATGAAGGACACCAAAAATTTGATAGGTGAACATTATTATTTTACGTATGGAATCTTGCTAGGGATTTGTGATACCCTCATATCACAAAGGTAAATTAAACGCGAAGTTGTAAACGTGCTGCGGTAAGTTGCAGAATAAAGTATGTAAGTAAAGCAAAACAAGTAGTCTGGTGGTATCTGCGGTCTGTTTGCTGGTTTGCAGCACAGATGTTAACATGGGACGACACCGTACATGTACTGTCGGTGAGATGGTTTTTAGTTAGTCTACAGTATAGCTTCGATTTTCAGTTTTCTTGGGGGGGTTGTTCCACAATCCACGATAATAATAGGTACCGGTAGACTATGTAAATTCCATCCTATGTTAACAGACAAACCTAGCCTATGCATAAGAGATTCTAACACTATCAGGTAACAGATGCTATTCTTGGATTAATTTTGAATAAACTATTGAATACTGGAATAGGAGGACTCCCTAACTCCTTAAGACTGTAAGATGTATGAGATTTCTGAAGTCCGACCAACGAAAGCTACACAAGTCAGGTACAGTATTTTATATAGCCTAACATCTTTCTGTTCTTGTGTACTGACATAGATTACATAAGAATGTTTGAAGCTTTCATTATAGGGTCTTACTACTTACTGAATACAGCGCGAAACACCGCAAAGAGCGCAAAACAGCGCGAAACAGCGCAAAATAGCGCAAAACAGCGCAAAAGAGAGGAAAACAGCGCGAAACAGAAGGAAACCAGCGCAAAACAGAGGGAAACAGCGCAAAACAGGAGACGCAGTCATTACCACCTCCTGCCACGAAAGAACCACGGCGCCTCTCGCCATGGTTTTATGGCGCTATTTCCGGCATATTTACAAGGTTATGTACCGGATTATAGGTCATCATGCGAAATTTTATCTACCTTTTTGGTGCTCCAGAAGTATGTGCAGCAATATGTCGCACAACCTGAATCCGCTACACACACACACACTATTTTCAGGTTGTGCGCCATCTTGGTGCACATACTTCTGGAGGTCCCTTTTTACCTAACCCTAACCCTAAAGCCAACCATATCCATATGGAAAATGTTCTAAATTATGGTACCCTAAATGTGTCACCAGCAGGGGCAGACCTGCCATTACAGCATTACTGGCTACATACGTTGGTTTGTGTTTTTAATTTGCTGCCGTGGTACTCCAACTCAAAACAAGGTGCCCCGAACTCATTGCAAAATTTTTTTCTGCTTCACACTGTTTCCCTCTGTTTTGCGCTCTTTCGCGCTGTTTCCACACTGTTTCGCGCTGTTTCCCTCTGTTTTGCGCTGTTTTGCGCTGTTTCGCGCTGTTTTGCGCTGTTTTGCGCTCTTTGCGGTGTTTCGCGCTGTATTCAGTAAGTAGTAAGACCGTTCATTATACTGTTATACAAAAATGATGATTTTTTTTTTTAAACTGTTTATTATGATTTTGTTTCCATTGCAGTAAATTTTTTAGATGATTCCAAATGCTAAACCAGATTTTAAAAGGCTTAATCGTTTTGGTACATTCTTTTTCTCAGCTAATTATTAGTCTATGACTCAAGTTTTATTTTAATGAATATCTACTTGAAGAAATTGTATACTTTTTATTAAAATGAATTTGATTATTTTCGTTACAACTTAGTAATTTTTTTTAGGTCCTTAAGTGAAACTGATGTTGTACCAAAGTCAGGTGAATATGAAACTCAATTTTAGAATATGCTGTGTAAGTTAGATTCTAGGAACCTCGTGCACAATCTGAATATTTTAAATGTATGGCCATAGTAGATAGAGAATGCCACGGCCAATTAGCAGCTATGTGAACTGCTGAACAATGATGTTCAGCAATCTTCTAACACATTATCCCTACTAAATTAACATCACCATATATGATTGGGAGTATATTTGAAACAAAATTCTGATATGGGATTTAAAAAAATTTTGTTGTCTGCTTATAGCTTATTGGATTCTCAGTATTTGTAAATGAATTTTTATGAAGCTCTTGACTCGAGCAAATGTACATAAAAGTGTTTAGTGCCATGCTTGTTTTCAAGAAATATTTTTCTGTTCTATGTCATTGTAGAGTTTGCTTTCCTCATACGGTATAAATTGAACTTTTTTGCCATTGACAAATATATACGAAATCTAAAAAATTCAGTTCATACTACGTCTATTCGTAATGATTTTACTATACTGTTACAAAGCTTACTCCATTCATCAGTTGACCTGCATACAAGATTATCGTACCTTGTTCATTGCGAAAATGTATTTTTCATTTTAGAACCTAGAATTATTCAGATAGCTGAAAATTGTCTTCGAAACAAGAACACTGAATTTCATCAGGTGATCCAGCAAGATCAGGCAATTTGATACATATTTTAAAATAAAATACTGTAATACCAACTATTAAAATAAATCAATTTTTTAGGTGATTCATTAAGATTGGTACGGTAACTTGTTTGCTGCTATCCATCATATGGCAGAAAAGGGTTTATTATTTTTGATAGTAAACCAGACTGAATTAATATTTTTGTCACCTTTAGTTTTTCTATAAATTTTTTTACACCTTTTTTTCAAACAAGAATCTATGCAAACAACTCACGTTTACATTTTAACTAAATTTTGAAGAAGGTAAATTGTAAAGTTTTGCACAGCTACCTGATTCATTCTAGGTTAGGTAGTGCTCGTTTCAATGTAACATCTTCAACATGCAATGCCAACACTTAGTTTAGTGCAAGTGCTACTCCTCATTTTCAATTTATTTCTTTAATCTTTATTCAGAATATATATGAGACTAAAAAGTATCACAGACTGATTGAGAAACGACGGAGAGACAGAATTAACGAATGTATTTTCCAGTTGAAGGATTTATTGCCTACAGATGTCATTAATTCAGTGAGTAGGCCTATTTTAAAATAGAATAGTTTTATGACCATTCGTGAGTGCAGGTAGCTTAAACTTTTAACTCCTTAGGCACCTGTCATGGTTTGTGATTGCAGCCCTACACATGGTTACTTACCCTGGTCGCTTGTCAACAAAAGTTTTATTCCCTCTTGAGGAGAAATTGCATGCCTGATGAGGGTTTCTGTTGTTCAGCATTGGCCTTCATCCCACCAAAAGGCTTGTGATAATTTCATTGGTCATTATGTTCATCAAGCTCCTGCTATGTTGCTTCAAATGATTTTATTATAATGCAAGTATAGGGTACAGGTTGGTAGAATAAAAATAAATTAAACATGTTTGTGTTTGCAGACAACAAGGTCAATGGAAAAAGCAGTTATTTTGGAACTTGTACTACAATATATGAAATCATTAAACAGAAGAAAGACACAAGAAAACAAAGATCTTGGTGAGAAAATTGTTGTCTTTTTCCCCATGAATTTGTTGTGAAGTTGTACTCTTGTACTTTCGATTTTTAATACCTTATATGAGTATTTTGTTACTAGTTAGCTACATAACTCTACCCTATAGACTCGAGCCATGGTTTATTAGTAGGCCAGTTTTTAGTGCTTTTCTATTCAAAATGTACTGTTCTCAGGGAGACGTGTTAGACTTAACTGTGTTGGCATCGCGGATTACACATCTTGGGTTCCCACAGCCCCACCTCAACCAGGGTGTAAATTGGGTATGCAATGCCGAAGTGGAAAGATTCCAGCTCTTCGAAATAATTGTAGCTCTTTGCAATGTTTCATTTTCATGTAGAGATATTGAGAGAGCAAGCTTTCATTTGTGGATTTCGAGACTGCACTGAGAAAATGTTCAAATTGATTGATGATAAATTTAATGATCACCAGAAACAAAGGATTAGAAAAGATCTACAGGAACAAATCTCATTTAACATAACAGAATCTTCACTTCAAATTAAGGTAAGATGTCATTTATAATGTATAACTCAGTTAGTTGTTATAAATAGTTAGGATCGCAATGGTCTCAGCAAACAAGAGAGCAGTGCTCAATTATGTGGAAATGAAGGCCAAAACGGAGTAGCACGTGTACAGATACCTGATCTTTCACAGTATTGTCGTCTTTTCGACAGACCACCAGATTGTAACGAACTGAATAATGCACCCAAATTTTTTAAATTTGATGTTGTCATTAAACAGAGAAAAACGAACCTCGTGAATCCCACAAAAAAAAATTTTGAACAAATTTAAAAGTAGAGCGGCACCAACAATCTTTTACCACTGAAAAATTTCAAAGCAGTAGATCCAGTAGATAAAGAAAAGCGATTTTTTTCACAATGACAAGAAGAGAAATACCAAGAATACCAACAACAACATAATGATAAAAATCCATAGGTCCATTTCATGTCCAATAAAAAGCGAGAAGAAGAAGTTTTTTCTAATTCACTTCTCATTGCTATTAAACTGGAATTTATCTATTTTCTGAGTTTGTATTATGGTCAATTTTGCTGAGGGATTTTTGCCAGATTCTCAAGTGAGTAGTATTCCTGATTCCCCTGTAACTTTATTCGCACAGGAAATAGAGGATTCTCAAATAATTAATTTAGTCATCTATAATCAGGGATTCCATCGATCTGGAACCCAAAATAAGGACAACTGAAAAAATTTCTGCATTGTGAGCAGAAATAACTGGCTTTCCTATGGCCTCCAGGGTAATGTCACAACTACAGACTTCACAGTGTGCGAAGCACTCACCCTTCAAGCTTCGTTTAACTTTGAATTTCTCCCTGTATCACGAAATTTGCTTATTTTTAAATTTAAGCTAAAATAACCACGACCAAACCTAATGATCGCCACACTAACAATGCTTCATGCCTATCTGTGCTTTGCTTCTTTGTGTTCCAAATAAGATTGTGTTGCTTTTACGATGCCACAATAAAGCTATGGCGATAAAACAAACAACACACAGCTTCAAATAAGTCCAAATAAGACAAAATAAGGACACGCAAGCCAAAAATGCTAAAAATAAGGACAAATCTTAGAAATAAGGACGGTATGGTATGATATCCTTGGGTATAATCCATGTGAAATTTAGTCTAGAAATATATTTCAAATAGACGTTTATAATGGTTCCATTGTTTTACAGTCTGACAGTCCTCCATCCGTTATATCCCTGAGCTCATTGTCAAACTCGTCAACGCCAGATCTTTTACAGTAAGTATAAATTCGCTTGTAAGGAAGAAATAATATGGTGCTTTGTTAGAAAACAAAATTTGAGTTTTGTCCCTCTCAGTCTCAGTCTTTAAATGTAGTGCGCTTTGAAGCATTTGGTTTTTCTGCAGTATATTTTTATTTCATGTGAGTTCCCCTTATTTCACTCCTATGTTTTTCGATAAAAATCATTCAATTGGGTGCACATGCCAAAGTTTCTGTTGTTATCAGTCAGTTCGATATATTTTTTGTCCTGCCCTGCTTTAAACTCTCACAGAATTTTTAAACTTTGATAGAGGTAGGCGCATATACACAATATTTTGATTAAGAACAAGGGTCTGTCTGTCCATGCTACATGAGAAGCTACCCAATTCATTACACCCTTGATGCGGGGGTGCGATTTGAATCCTAGATCTTAACCTGCTATGCCTACATGGTTGAGTCCGAAGCAATCACCACAAGGCCATCACTGCACAATAAAGTTCAACCATATTCTATGTATTATTTTCGTTATTCTCAACCCAGAATTACTTCGAACTTGAAGTCCCGTTTTTGATATGTCATGTGTTATTTCATAACGGCTTCTCATCTGAAATTTGCTGCACGCAACATTCCTGCTCATAGCTGAAGCTAAATCAACCACTCAAAATGCAGAAATTTGTACAAAATTATCCAACGACAACGAGTGCTTTTTTGATGTAGTGTTAACTATTACTTCACAGGTGTGCGGAAAATTCAGACTCTAGTGGGAGTGGAAGCATGCCATTTATTCAGAATAAAACAATACATAAAGGGGTGAAGAGGAAAATATTGCCTCGCAGGTGAGTAGCTCTCAATTTAATTATGAAAATCCATGGAAGTTTTTCACCAGGAAACATAGAAGGATGTTTAAAAGTAATCGAATGTTCGAATACAATTAAATTTCATTATAGCCAATTTGATGATTTTAGAAAAAATTTTGAGGAGATGGCAAACAGTTGAAGCTGAGAGATAATGAGAAAATTCACTTCCTTATTCGTTCTCTTACCCTCTTGTAGGTTTTTGCTCCTTCCTGGTTTTTTTTTTGCTCATTTCACCCTTCGTTTTGTTGTCCAACTGTTAAGCATATCATCGTCTTCTTTTGCCTTCTTCGGTTCAGGTTCACTCTCAGCAGGGGCTGTTGACTGACGTTTTGTGAAAGTTTAAAACAGATAGCCTATATACACTAGAGGCAGGCCAGAGCAAGATAATAACGGTGTGAAAAGTCGTGACTTCAAACACTGCAATAAATTAATGTAAAATAAGCGAATATCACTACACATGTCTTTTGTATGTAGAAGCATCTTTCGTTATTTGAAGTAATAGTTCTAGTTATTTTCTACGAAATATTGTAACTTCGTAACTTGGAAATTTCGTATCTGGAGTCTTTCGTTAGTAGGATTCTACGATATGTAACTTTTTCCACATCCTGGGTTTTCAAATTCAAATCCTATGGCCTCTCCTCACTCGAGTTTCATTAAATCGGGTAGGTAGGTTCCAGTGCATCAAAAACATAGCCTCCTACATAGTAGTGGATATTTGCTCATATAGTCTTGCTTGGAGGGTAACATCCTATAAGAATATTTCATTGAGTGCATTGTGATTGGAATAAAAAAAGATATTTCAATTTTTTGAAATTAATAGAAATCTGTAATGTATTCACTCAGCATAATCTCATTTTCACATTATCCCTAGGTCCACAAAGGTTCCCATTCAACCAACATCTTCTATTTCTCCTCAATCTTCACCACCAGAAAAGAAAGCTAAAGATGATCTTGAAGTTTCTCAGACAAACAGTAGTGTTTCAAATCAAGTACCTATATATATCAATATGCCAGTCATGATGAATCCAGGAATGATTCAAGCTCCAACTGTAATTAACAAACATCAACAAACTTCTGAAGTAGAGAATACTTCTGCCAAACCTACACCTGTTATGATACCCAGTACCTCAGCTACCATGTTCTCGCAAATAAATGGTAGTGTAAAGCCGATGGTACAGATGGCTGGCTGTCCCTTGATCACACACATGGGTGGCAATATGGCAAGCGGTGTACCAATGCAGTTTCAAAATGGGACTATAGTTACCCAAATGGGAAGCCTTGGTGCACAAAGTGGTATGCAGTTATCCAATGGGTCATTGGTTCCTCAAATATCAGGTAACGGTGTCCAATATCCAACTTTTTTTATGGCGTGCGGAACTCAGTCACAAGCAATTCAACAGGATCAGCAACAATTAAGAAAACAGCAGACTGTACCAGTCAATCCTATGATCTTACAGCCGACTATTATGATGCCTGCTGGTGCGCAGGGAAATGTAATATGCATGCCATCTTTTCCTGTTATGCAACCATTTCAAACTTCTACTCTCGTGTCTGTTCAGTCGCCCGCTGATGGTAAAAAGTCATAAGGGAACAACGTTTTGAAACTTTGTGTTTATTCAACTTAATTGCTGCTGAATTGACTAATAGAAAATTAAGCTTTAGTATTTCCTTTCTTGTTTCCTAAGGCCAAAGTTCATTAGAGCTTACTCAAAGGTATTGGTTACTACCGTGTGATAGCAAATTTCATTATGTTGGCAAATATCGGAATTCGAAATCTTTCGATCCACGATTGACTGCTATAATACTTCGATGCATGTTTCTACAGCTGCCATACCGGGGAAACTATCCTCGGTGCTCCCGAAGTATGCGAACCAAGATGGCGGACATCGGAACGTAACAGGTTAGGGTTAGGCGATAATTTTTTTCCAATTTTCCTTATTTTAGTCCTATTATCAGTTCGAAGACTAGCCAAGAGCCTACCGTAGTATTTATACCTAAAATTATGGCCTATCCTAACCTAGTACACATATTACATTCCGATGTCCGCCATCTTGGTTCGCATACTTCGGGAGCCCCCTATCCTCACAACTGACCAGGTCCTACGTTTATCCATATGATTAAGCCTCCAAGGGAACCAAAAGTAATGGCGGTCGTTTCGAGACTACGGCCTGAGTTTACAATCCTGCTGGCACTTTTATTTAAAATAGGGTTCTCCGGAATTATACCAAGTTGAAAAACGCTCTGACATTTTTGCGAAACCTTTCCATCGTGACTTGTGCGCCAACTTTGATTACGCAAGACACAATTCAAACGTTATAGTACGGAACGATTGGGTCCCGCCAGGCAGTTTATTGAATATTCAAACTTTGTATATAACAATATCAGCTCCTAAGGGGTCCGAATGTTTTTTTTAATGCAAAAGCACTGCAATGTATGGCAACTATCAATTAGGGTTAAAGGTTATTCCAGGGTTGACTATAAGTTTCTATGTTCAGCTGTCCTCTTGTTTAATTTGTCCAATATTATTAAGTACAAATTCTGTAATACAGGATCCACATATTTATCACGGACAAGGAAAGTTAATAAGACGACTTAATCGTATGGCAAACCACGGCCTCTCGTCCGGTTATTGGTACGTGTCGGGTATGTAGTTATCTGTTTTGGATACACGAATGACCAGCGGTTACGTGAACCAACCTGCGGCATGGAAGAAGTCTGAAGTTTATTTTATCACAAACCGAATGTAAACATTGACGAACAAAATTGAAAAAAATGTAGCAATCCCCTCGCGCATAGTGGATGTTTCGCCAGAGCATCGACTTGTTCACTTCGTGAAATTGGCCAATTCAAAGATACAAGAAGTGACGTAACAATGCCCTTTTTCGCGTCCGCTCAGACAGATTTTCAGGCGTGGTCGTAAGCAATTACCTCTTTTTCGCGTTTTTTAATTCTATTCGTTAGTTTCCAGTTGTGTTTCGGAAATTTGAATATAAATCAAATAATTCAATGATCACTTTGTCTTCTTATGATTTTCAGTTTAATTGCGGTAATCAAAAATTAGTGTAGAAATAGCTGTGGTAGACTAGGGCTAGGCTAAACTTCTATACCAGTACTTTTAAAAAACAAATTGTTGAATGCTATGAATCAGAATGATGGTTTGGACAAATACCCCATTCACAGGCGCCAACTCGCGAAACCACTCTTAAAAAAACATCGGAAATTTTGCGATGGTGAGGTATAAGAAGAATTTTCCGAGGGCCAAAGGTCCATTATCCGCCACGGGACTCGAAACCTGCGAACACACGCAGTGTAATCGGAGTTGCGACAAGCAGGGTATCCGTACGATGCGTCACACCATTAAGATTACTGAATCGTGAATCAGTATGTCAGTGCTATTTGAAGTAGCTGTTTAAAAACTTGACTACACAACGCAGCAGAACATAACTGCTGTACAGTACTACCATTCGTCGGACTGATTATCAAAAAATCCCAAAAATTGGCCCGCATTTACATAACACCTCGTTATGAGGTTAACTGCTGTACAGTATTTGAAATTCGACGCGTCAGTGTGCCGTAAGAGATTATCGGGTGTGCGTTTGAGTTTTTTGAATTAACTGGAAAGCATTTGTGTTTAGTCCGATTGGATAGCAATAATAGCTGGGCACGCAATGCTCGCATCCAGAAAGTTGGGGGAATAATAACATTAACAATACTTCACCATACAGTTTGTAGGCTAAAATGCTGAGCTAGCGCAAGTTTTTCATCCTAACGTATGGTTAGAATCTGATCGTGTATTATTGCCATTTTTGGTCAAAACAAGGCGATAAGGATATGACTACTGTATTTTCATGAAAGGGGGAATTGAGCTTTTGGTGATACGATTTAGGGGTAACAGTAATAAACAGTTTGGGAACCACTGCTTTAGATGAATATTTTCTGTTGCTCAATGTTCAAAAACTTTACTTGATATTTAGTTTTTTCGATGCAGTGAATTGATTGTTTATCCAAAACTAAGTTTGATATTTCAGAATAGAAAAGTAATTTTGTAACGTTATATGAATTGGAAAGTGAGATGACCAATGGTCAACACAATACGCATACATATGTTCATATTTTGATACCTTCAGAGGCAGTGATTTCCCTACAAATACCTCCCCCCCCCTCTTAAAATTTCGAACACACCCCATAATTTTTAGGTGTGACGCCGTACTTGAATGCTTAACCTGGTTCCATTACATTTGAACCCACGACAATTGCACCCATGGAAATTTGCATCTTCGGATATTTGAACCCATACTGACCTTAATCCATGGATTTTATCACCCGCTTATAGATTGAACCCGCGAATATACGGGTGCAAATGTATGGGTTCAAATGTGCTGTCACCCGTAACCTAAATAAAATTGTATTTGAATATGCAGAAAGTGGCTCATGTGCCGTAAAAAGCTGGGGAACATACTGCATATAGGCCTAGACTTAAACCATTTGTTTTGACACAAACTGTTGATGACTCAAGCCGACTCACGCCACATGCGTCGCGTTACAGACACGCCCCCCTTTGTGCGAGAGAACCGCTTTCAGCCGGTTCACGTTGTATTTCCAGTTCAGTGATTGCCGTACGTACGTTATTAGCGAACGTTGAACTCCGGTTGGTTTTGTTCGTAAAGTTGTACACACCCCTAAACTATGAGTTAATAAACCTTCGCTAAATACATTTATATTTGTGGAGGTGAATAACAACAGTCCAGAGGCAGGAACATATATATATTCAGGTCCCCATAAAGAAAATATCATCGTTCGATTAGGCTGCTTCAAATATATGACTGTTCTTGATTTTTACATCTCCAAAAGACCAAAATAGATACATACTGACTGGAACGTTGCCCGTTCAGTTTGTTTTCCGTTCAATGCAAGAATGAAAATCCCGTACCTAAGTCAAATAATAAAGCTTTAAGTTTTCAAGTGCATTTATTTTTTTCCAAATAACTAAAAATAATAAAGCTACACAAAGGTTTACATAAAATGTTTCCTATTTGGAATCTTTGTTACGTCGACATCATCTCACTACATTCTAACATGATTGGTCCGTTTTGAAGTCAACACTAATGGTTAGAACTCGCTGAAACCGGTTAAAAACGAGAGAGATGAACTCCGCGAATGATTCAACGACGAGACTTTTTACATTCTCTCGCATCGCGTAAACACAACAAACGCAAGACCGTATTTTCATTTTGTTGCTGACTTCCATAGCGTCTGTACGTTGAAAATGAATCTCTTGCGTGGTCTTAAAAGATGTGGAAAAATGACTTATATTATAAGTCGACAGCGTAGTACTGTCGCTGCGAGTGCCAGACCTTTAACAGACAATGGAAAGTTTGATAGGCCCTCAATAGTAACTAATGAAATTCCAGGGCCCAAGACGAGAGCACTTTTAGAGCGTGCCGCTGTGGTTCACAACACGGGAGCAATAAATTTTTTCTGCGATTATGAGAAAAGCAAAGGAAATTATCTTGTGGACGCCGATGGGAATGTACTTTTAGATTGCTATCAGCAAATTTCATCTATGCCTCTTGGATACAATTATCCGGGATTTTTGGACATTTACAAAGACGAGTCCAGTCTCGTATCTGTCGTAAACCGTGCAGCTCTTGGAAATTTTCCTCCTGTGAATTTTACAAAAGATTTAGAGACCTTGTTGACTGTTGCTCCGAAAGGTCTCACGAATGTTGTTACACTCGCATGTGGATCTTGTTCTAATGAGAATGCTTACAAAGCGCTTTTCATGTGGTACCAGCGTCGACAAAGAGGGGAAGAACCTCTGGGATCAGATCAGAATATTGAATCATGCATGATGAACAAGCCTCCCGGTTCTCCCAATCTTTCAATTCTGTCATTCAGTGGAGCATTTCACGGTCGAACATTAGGCTGTCTAAGTACGACACACAGTAAATGGATTCATAAAATTGACATCCCTGCGTTTGACTGGCCGATAGCTGACTTTCCGCAGTTAAAATATCCACTGGAAGAATTCAAACGAGAAAACGATGCCGAAGAAGCTCGCTGCTTAGCACAAGTTGAGGAACTTATTGAGCGGTGGAGAACCAAGTCTCCCGTGGCCGGATTGATTATTGAACCCATCCAAGCGGAAGGCGGCGACAGACATGCGTCTGATGATTATTTCCGCAAACTGAGAAATATTGCAACGAAATACGACATCGGTTTTATATGCGACGAAGTGCAAACAGGCATGGCGATTAGCGGACGCTTTTGGGCGCATGATTATTGGAATCTAGACAAGTCTCCCGATATTGTTACTTTCGCCAAAAAAATGATCACTGGTGGATTTTTTTTCTCCGATGAAATAAAATGGAAAGAGGGATATCGCATTTTTAACACTTGGATGAGCGATCCGAGCAAATTTCCAATTTTAGAGCACACTTTAGATGTTGTAAAATCCGAGGACCTCGCCGCAAGGGCAGCGGGAGTAGGAGAACACCTTTTATCTGGCTTGAAAGATTTTGAACGCCGATATGATTTTCTCAGTGCCGCCCGGGGCCGTGGAACTTTTTGTGCCATTGATGCAGTGGATACAAACACAAGAGACAGCGTTGTAAAAACGGCTCTCTCTAATGGTCTCTTGATAGGCGGCTGTGGAGAAAAGACGATCCGTTTCCGACCAAGCCTCATTTTTTCAATTCAAGAAGCCGATATGGCCCTTGGTATATTAGATGACGTGATGCAGAAGATAGCCCCTTGAAGGTGTAAGCATACAAATGATGTTTTTTTACCATCCGTTTTACCTACACACCAAATGATTGGTACGTTTATTGTAATACGTTTTTGTATTCAAAATATTGCGACCATGTATATGACTCACATCTGTTATGTCACCTCACTTTGAAAAAATTGATAATATTACAATGCATTACATTGTATTATACAGTATCTGGATTCGAGGGTGATAGTGAGCTTTATATGTGAAAATTAACCTCATAAAATAAATTATTATTACTTATTTTGATAACACAATTTACATTAACGTTGGAACCTTGCTACGATCGACAACTTTCGTTGCAACGCGTTTGTTAATTAAACAAACGTGGTTCGTTCATCATATTCACCTCATAGTTCAAACAAAGCTTATGTTCATGTATATACTGTTTAAACTTAAAGCAATGTATGTTGTTATGTGAATTTTTTAATCTACGCTAAGTCATTACTTTTATACAAGGTCATATGAGTCCGGCCCAAATAGAATCTTATTGTAAAATCCTGATTTTATCACCGGTCGATCTTGTGTAGGCCTATTTCGTATTGTAAATAATAGAGAGTGGCAAATTTAAAATTTATGCAGATGCACTAATAATGGGATCTTTCAATTTATACTTGTTTGCTTTTAAATTTTATCGCTGCAATAAAACGTCCTGCTTCTATTACATTTTATGATGTTATGGTAGTTTAGATTTTAGAACATTTACTATTGGCTAAGCAAAAAATATTTCAACTTTTAAAGGCGGAAGGTTAGCAGAGGTCTGGTCTTGTCATAAAATCATGGTGTTTCTGTACGCGCGCCATGGCATGACCCGACATGAATGTTTTATGAATTATACACGCATCTGGCACATGGCGTTTATCAGTGGACATCGGGCTCTCTTCAAAAATAAAGTACACAATGATAGGATAGTTGACATATTAACAACCCCCAAATACACTATTTGAACCGACGCATGTCTCAATTCTTTGTCATGGCAAGAAATCCTAATTTTTTTTTAACTTGATTAATATTAATTGAACTAATGCCGAAATTAGCATTGGGAATTTATATGATTGGAATATTGTGTGCTTTAATATAAACCTACAAAACACGGCCTATTTGATGTTTCAGCTCTGAATATTCGTTGGCGGTGATTGGTGAGGTTTGTTATTCAAGTCACATATTGCCCGATGGCGCGTTTTTGTGGTAATTCCACTCGCGGAATTGACTTCAAATAGGTCTATCTGGCATCATCTCTTCGAACTTGATTGATACTTGACCCGCAAAATATATTGTTGCTCCACTTGTTCGTGCCGAGAGATTAATAAAAAGGTCATAGCTCCCATTCAGACAAACATCGTGACGTGAGAGCAATACTTCGTAATTCTGTTGCAGTTCATTGCACTTGTTATACGCTTATGTTTATTCGTCTCGAAAGACGCACACATGATAGAATGAAACTCAACGCAACCTAGAGTAAACACACTACGTAGGTGGATTTGCAAAATGTTGAAATATAATATATAACGCATAATCGCCAATGTTCGTTCAGTTGTATTGACAAATATTTAAGTGATGGGTTAGGAACCCTATATGTTCATACGGATTTAAAGTACTTACAATTTCAATAATTTATGAATAGAAGCATCGCCACATAAACACAGTAAATATACATGGTGGTGCGCTGTTGCCAAAAATAAATTGATAAGGAAGCAGCCATTGCTTTCATTCGCCCGATTGAAGACACAACGAACTGTACGTGGAAGACTTCCATTACCTATGCTGTAGACCTAAGGAAACCTGTGTTCGATATCATGAATGATGCTATTCTTTCACACCACATGACTTATATGATTGATTGAAGTACTGTACTGTTAGTTTCAGCGTGATTATTTTTTAAAGTGTCTTTTTCTTCAATTCTTGAACAAGTCGTATTTTTTTTGTAAATACCAATAAGGTTTATTATAGGGGTATAGATGTATTAAAACTATCGCATTAGATACGAGTAATACAAATACTAAATACGTTATGAGCAATTGATAACACCCATAATATACCCGTCTAGTCGTATTATTAATTATACCCTTATGTTAACCGACAATCGGCTAATAAACGATATTGTAGTCAAAACAGCCATTTGTCGAATATATACGACATGTTCCAAGATCTAATAGATTTATTCCACATAAGCTTAGTTTACTCTAAGACAGTGGTCGCGAACTCAAAATATATCATGGGCCACTTTTTGAATTTATTGACGACGCAGGCCACAAACTATCAAATTAGGTACAAAATGATACACGAAACATAACAAAAGAAATCTGAATGTATTTGTTGAAATTACACTTGAATCTTACACCAAACGAGACATGAAACATATTCTATTACTTGTGCTGGATATTTGGTACGGTTTTGGAGCGGTGAGAGACTCGACGTTTGGCCTTATTTTGCCTTGGTTTGCTTGTCTTAAGACAACATGCAAATGCTCGTCCGTTGGTCGCGTGCGGAGGGCTGATTCGTTACTTTGATTGTTGAAAAAAACTGCTTCCAAATATAAGTAGGTACTGCCCAACATTGCAAGTATGCGACGTGAGTGTGCAATTAACTTTGCGAACCAAATGATCTGGCCGAAACATTTCGTCATAATAAAAATGAGGGAAATTTTTGTTTCACTTTTTACAGTTTGTCGGACCGGATTCTTGATGTTAATAAGCACAATAAAACCTACTCATGGTTGACGTCATACTATTTTAGTTTTTTGTGGAAAAATCTCAACCATGACGAGGGCCGGAAAAAATTGTCTCGCGGGCCGCATGCGGTCCTCATACCAATCTAATATTAGGTCGCGACATCCGGTTGAAATATGGCGTTGCTTCGTAGTACATAATTCGATAAATATTTTTTTTAACTATTCTATAATTCTCAGAGACGTCATATTTAGAAGTTTATTGTAATTTATTCGCACTTACTGTTTTATCGTTTTGGGCATGTTATCCACGAATACAAACAATCTAAAAATGTAGTTTCAGATTGATACTGGCAGAATTGTTATGGGAAAGGAGTCAACGCACACTATTTTGGGTTGATTGATTGGTAGTGTGCAAGATATTGATTGACCTGTAGCGCTATAGATTTGGTAATTGCATGTTTTTTCAATCAATTTCAATCTCTTGGGTTTTGTATATGTGATTAGATATATGCGGGCGGCGTCGAGGTAGACAAACAAAATAAACCGGCTTTGCTGACAGATGCCAGCTTTAGTCAATTAATTACCACGTGTTCACGATGCTTAAAATTGTACTAGCGATTGATTAGGTGTCAGTCATTTTCACATTGCCAAAGCACTATACATTTTCAAGTGATTACAATCGACCACCGCGCGTTTCACAAGTCAACTAACACAACTGCGAGCCAGATTATCCAACCGGAAATGATGATTTATTTATTAATTCTGACGCGTCTTTCACACAAAGCAACTGTCTGAAGCGCATACCGTGATTATGAAACTTGGAATATTAACATCACTGAAAATACTGATAACAAACGATGTGAATAGCTTCTTATCAAATAAACCAAGGCCACAAATTGTATTTCACTTGTCTGTAATTAATTTTTATCTACACACATTCAAATGTACTCCCACCAAAGGATTTGTTACAGGTTATAAAATTCAATGAATTCATATCATTAGCATTTATAATAAATGCTGAATTAGCCGTGTGATTTTTAAATTTTGTTTTATATATTTCTAAATGGAGTAATTTATTATATTCATTCTTCGAAAAGTTTGAAAAAATATAAAAAAAAAATCGGAAATGAATCACATGGATATGTATCACATACCGTTGGTGGCCATATATATTGAATTACATATTCTATTCTATTTGAACGGTAAACACTATCATGCTTCAGTACACCGCTTTCCTAGGGTGTACTTTCGACCAAAAGCACGCAAATAAATTTGCACGTAGTTATTTTCAAATTATGTTCAGAATATGAGTATCACATGATACCATATTTTATTATTATTTTAATTCAATTTGGAAATTCCATGACATGGCAAAATGATACTCTTTATAATTTATTGTTCTCTATTTCAATATACTTTTATACTTTCGAATTGTCTGGCTGAAATGCGATCATGATAGGTTTTATGGAAATGCAACCTAAATATCCTTTTTTTGAATCCTGATCTTTTTTTTGAGGTATTCAGAACTATAAAATACAAATACCTTGAAAAAGCGTATAACTTGACAGAACTTATTACATTGCATTTCCCCAAGCCTTGAAGGAACGCATTTTTGCTAGATTAGCCATTTATTACTTAAGACACTCACCCTTGAGTGGTACATACCATATATGCACATTCTCCTATAAACTAGACTATTCCTCCCATTTATATTGGTATCATTACTTGAGGGTGATATATGTTCAAATTTTATTCTTATGTATATATATTATGTATTATATTTCATGTTGTATGTCTCTATTTATTGATGTTGTCTTGTCTCACCAACTCCTTTGTACAAACAGTTGGGCATATTCACCGTTACCCATGTTGCCTAATCCACCCTCCTCGCACAACTGTCTGTATGAAGGACCATATTATACTTATTCGATTTATTGCATTTTATGCTTACCATAAATCATTTTATGCATATCACGTTCATGTGTTTTAGGCCAGTATGATCTTGTGTATACATCCCGTCTTCAATGTTGATATTTACTAACTCCTGTGTTTTTACGAGACGAATAAACATACATACATACATACATCCTATTATGTTATGTGTATGCAATAGGGCTGGGCATTTCGAATCGAATAGTGAATTATTCAAATCGGTTCATGTATTCATTAAACATGTTTGTTATTATTGTGTGTAATAATAAAAAACTCACATACCTTCCAAGTATTCGATTCAAAAAAATATCCGATTCGATTCTTAAACGAAAATGGAATAAAAAAAAACATTTAATAAAATAGAACGCAGAAACTCCAATTATTTTGTAACCCCGAGTGAGAAATTGAGTAATGTTGAGATTTCAAGCTTATTGACGACTTCTTTCATATTATGATAAAAAGGATGCAATCAGAAAGTTGCGAAATTTGACTCCGACATCTCCTTTTTGATTGTTAGGTTGGTGTGGGAAATTCCCTTTTAACCGAGCGCAGGGTTTAGCTGTTGTTATTTATTGCTGGCTTAGATTCACAAAAGATAATGGCTTCAAAAGAAGACGGTGTGTATGTATGTGGAATAGGATTTAACAAGTTTTCACAAATTGATTGCCATTGTGACATTATAGTCAACAAACCAATACGATTTGATGGGAAAATTGTATCTGTTATGGCTGGATCAAGAAATGCAATTATACTGAAAAGAGGTGATCGATTCGCTTAGTAGGCTAGTATTAAAGTATTAGTTACCATGACCGGATGATTGGTGTGCTTGATTGAATATCAGATTGGTTCATTATTATACAATAACAAAATCGTGGATTGTTTGTCATAAAATGCCTTCCAAATAACGCGTTTTCAGCAATATAATCGTTGATCTTGTGGAATGCGATGGTTCATTATTTTATTTTAATGACGAAATCGTTGATTGTTTGTCAGAAAACGCCCTCCAAATAACTGTTATTAGCAATAAGCGTTTATCTGGTGCTTCAAAACTGACGGTAATAATCAATAGAAGTATTTAGGCCTGGTATAGGTTTTTAGTCACGATCGTTTCCACAAAGTATTTTGTAGAATGCCGCTTGCTAATGATGGGTGGTAGGCGCCGAAAGCTGCAATACCTGCTGGAATCTCAGGGTGAAATCGGACCGAAACCGAAATGGCACCTGACTAGGCACTTGGTCGTCCATTTGCGCTATTCAGCTCTGCTATCAACATATCATATACTTTCAAGTCGACTTATTACAGTGTTATCAGGAATTTCAATTTCTCAGTCTAGCTTTAGATACAAAATGCCAGGAAAGAGGAAAACATCTAATGTTTGGGAACACTTTGTTTTGAAGTTCGATGGATTTGCGGTGTGCAATCACTGCAAACTTGAAATTAGCTACTGCAACAGTACAGGAAGTCTCCTAAAGCATTTGAGGACAAAACATATTTTCATTGGATTTGATCAAATGAGGGGAAGTGCTACCTCGATTATGCCTGCACCAAAGCAACCGTAATTTGCCTCTTATTTTTAAACCCCGCTCACACCTGCAAAATCAAAGAAACTCACAGAACTAATTTTAAATACTATAGTCGGTGATTTGAGACCGATTGGTTTAGTAGAAGGGGAGAACTTCAAAAAACTAATAAAAGATTTAGCACCCGGATATGAGATGCCAAGTCGCCGGACTCCGACAAGAAATATTGAAAAAAAGTTTTTAAATTGCAAGAAGGAAATGAGGAAAGTTCTGAATCATGTTAAATATGCAGCATTGACGACAGATCTATGGTGCAGTGCAAAAACGCAATCTTTTCTTGGCGTTACTCTCCATTATATAAATGAGGATTTTGTCATCAAAAGCCAGCTAAGCATTAAAAGCTGCTCAAGAAAAAGAACATCAGCTGGAGCTCATACTTGATGTTTCCACAAGATGGAACTCCACATACAGTATGTTGCAGAGACTTTGTCGCCTGCAAGCATATGTTCGCCAAGTCCTGTGCAATGGGCTCATTGTATAAGCAACATCGTCAGCTCATTTGGAGTTAAAAGACAACCACTGGGCACTAATTTAAACCCTAGATGAAAAACTTAAACCAATTAAGGTAAGTCGTATGTGCGACCAGGAGAAAAATAACTTGTACTGGGCCACATAATTTGTTAATAACGTACATGTTATTCATTAACAGATTGCAGAAGATTACCTGAAGGGTGAAAAATATGTGTCAATAAGTGGTGTAATACCATTGATCAAAGGATTGTCACAAAAGTACATGCCATGTGAAAAAGATTCAAGAAGTTCAGCTTTATTTAGGAACAAAATTTTAACTCAACTGCATAAGAGATTTTGGTTTGTTTTCAACCAGAACTCGTGGTATATTCACATGAGCATAGCAACATGGCTGGATCCAAGATACAAAACGAGCTATTTCAAAAAAGTGGATGGTATTCAATTAAGTTTCATTGCATTGCAACTTTTGCCTTTTGCAGCCTTATTTTTTTTTAAACACTCTTTTAGATTGCTTTCTTTCTCATAGATTAAAGGCAGTGTCGAATCAGAAATGATCACAATAAAACAACGACAGACAAATGCAAACAGCAAGGATATCGACAACTATTTTGAACAACAATTTGATTTTGCCAAAATCACTAGATGACCTTTTGGGCTGTGGCATTGAAAGCCACGACAGCAGCAAAGAAATAGACGAAGGCAATGATGATGAAGTTGCTAGCGTTTCGGAAGAAGCGGCCTCTTATTTAAAAACAGAAATCAATCAACTTAAATACTTTGGAATGGTGGAAAAGTAACACAGTTACACCTGTTTTGAAAGAACTGGCAGAGAAGTATTCATGCATGCCAGCGACATCGGCATTCTCAGAACGATCTTTTTCTAGTGCAGGATTGACTGCTAGTAAATTACGATCACGGTTAACCAGCATAAATGTGTTACACTGCAACAAAAAAATTGTGCACAATTTTATTTTTTGCAATTTTTTACATTCCTGTTCCACAATCTTATTTTTTGTAATTTTCCAAATTTCTGTTCCACAAGCTTATTTTTTGGAATTTTTTACATTCCTGTTCTGATTTTAAAATGTTTTTCATTGAAATAAAACAGTTCCAATATTCCGATTACTAGATGACTTCTATTTAATTTGTTGAAGCTGTTAGTACAGTTAGATTCAGATTCAGATATTTATTTTCGTCATGCATGAAATATTACACTATTAAAACAAAGAACACAAAAATAAATCTATTGGAAAAAAAAATAACACAATATTTCGATTGCAATTGACGAGGAGATAAAGTCGTCGTGTCAGCGACACCAAAATTGCCGTGGTCAGCAGCAGATGACGTCAAATAACTAGTATTTAGAATACATTTGAAAAATGTGGATCGAAGATAAAACGTCACTTAGGAGAGAATTGTTTAAAAGGAAAATAAGTTAAAACGAGAGAGTCGGTCGGAAAAGGAGTTTGTACCGTCAATTTATTTTCGTATTTTCGAGTTTTGTTATTGAAACAGTGTAGAGTTCAGTTGAGCCATTTAGCTTACAATGTGGCTGTAAATGAAAATAGAACAGGATTCGGTATTCTGGATTCGATTTAACTATTCTAGAATAGTAAATTATTCTACATTGCCCATCCCTACTGCACAGCTTCATGACTTGAAGAACTAAATTGGTAAATTGTGCCGGGCTACACAAAGGTCAATCGTTTTCAATATGCAACTCATACATGTATAGTTTATTCAATATATTCATTTCATTTTATACAGATGATGGGACTTTGACAATCAGAGGTTTCTGGAGTAACTGTCAAAGGTGTGAAATAAACATTTCAAAAAGAGGACAATGTGCAACTTTAAAGGAAGATGAATTGTTTGTTGTAGATTCTGAGGGGATTCTTTATAAATATTCCAATGAAACAAATGAAGAAGTTTGTAATCAAATGGCTTCACCACCGTCAATAAAACAAATAGATTTGGTTGAAAATTCATCCACATTGTTTGGTGTTACAGGTAATACCCAGTTTATACTTATATTACTTATTAATTATATCTCTAATTAGATACACTTGTTGTATTCATAGTTATTCGTTGATTTTGTACATTCACTCTATTTACTTTGATTTTCCTTGTCTTTATGACAGTGTTCAAAGTTGAATATTGTAGTATCCGTATAATTCAATGTAAAGCATATCAGACATTGCATTGGTCTTTAAAATATTTTGATGGAGTAATCAGTTGCATTTGATATTGTTAATCATCAATTTTCAGAAATATTTCAGAACATTTTTTGTAAATTGTTGCTATTAGCTATGTCAGATACAAGCTGACTTTGATATGGTATAGTGTTTGTACAGACCAGACCCAATCATGTTCTTCATGATAATATTTGACCTCACTGAATATTACAATCATTTCTTCTTATCTTCATCTCTGAAAGATTCATACAATGTTTTCACTTCTCTGAATTTGTTTGTGTGTTCAAAATGCAAATTTGCAGTGAAGATTGATCCACACACAATGTACCGATTTTGCTACTTAACCTTATCTGATTACATTCATGTCTAAATTTAAGAAAGCGGTAACGTTTATCGTTGGAATGAAGACAATATACCAACTCAGATTGTTTTATTAACAAAAATTTCACAAATAAGCTGTGGCGTCAGCCATGTACTTGCATGCTCTGAAAGTGGAAATGTTTACACATGGGGAACAGGTAGGTGCGTCCAATTCTAAAGATAAATAGGCGCTCCCGAAGTATGTGCACCAAGATTGCGCACAACCTGAACCCTAACCTGGTACACATACTATGTTCATCTTGGTGCACATACTTCTGGAGGTCCAAATAATATTATTATATCCAGTTCAACATTTCATACCTTGGATATTTAACACTTAAAAATATTTAGAATATATATATCTCACATATTTTTACATGTTTCGAACATTCTTTTTTATTATTGTGTATTTCAGTTTTGTTTCATGTTCTTTTTCCAAGGAATTAAAACTAACTTCATACTTATTTTGGCAAACAGTGAGTAGATATCCGGTGACATAGTCTGAAATCTAAAATGATAATTGTTTACCTTTGATGCCCCTTATGTTACTCACAATATTACACATTGTATTTTAGCCGAGGACAATTAGGGCATAGTTCATTAGAAGATGCAGAAAACCCCAAGCTGATTGATATGTTGTGCGGTGTTAACATAAAAGCAGTTGCAGCTGGAGGTTGGCATTCTTTATCTCTTGCAGGTACAATAATCATCAGAATGTATATTCAATGAAAATTAATATAATCATCTTCGTATAATCACCAAATATTGATCTATTATCTGAAGATCAATTTTTCACTCCTTTTTAGCGGGTCGAAAATTTAGTCAAAGTTGCAAAACGCTTGGCGCTCACTGGTTGATAAAGAGTTGCATTTTATGAACAATATTTACACTGTTCCAAAAGCAAAAGTGGAAAACAATGAGCCTGGTGCATTAACTAAATTTAATCCCACCCCCAACAATTCCTTGAGTTATTTTTAGCTAAAACATCAAAATTTGGTTTTTACTTCGGTTGTGGCAGCATCAGGCGGGCCAGATTGAATTACCCAACGAGCTGGATTTGGTCCGCAGGCCATAGTTTGCCCATGTCTGCATTTCTTACATGCACTAAACAATTACTGTATTGTAAAATTCCTTATAGAATTGAAATACAATTACATTGCTTGTCATGAATCCATTTCGCTTTAAGAATCTGGTGATATTTACGCATGGGGATGGAATGAAGTGGGACAGCTTGGATTTCCAGCAACTACACTCACAGACTTTTCAGAAACGAAATTAGAAGGAGATAAGTCTGTTTCCATGTTGAGCACACCTGCCTTGCTCGAACTAGAAAAGTATCTGGGATGTGATGGGTACCTAACGTTAATCGATATATCATGTGGAAGTCGACATTCCGCAACAGTGACTTCAAAAGGCGCTGCAATCACATGGGGTTGGGCTAAATATGGACAACTTGGACATTTGTGTTGTGTTTCGAATTCTGAAAAGAACAATTCTTTGACCTTTATGGAAAAACGGAGTCGGAACAATTTTGGTAACAGTTGTAATGAAAAAGCACATCTTCCGGGATTTGTTGTGTTTCCAGACTCTAATTGTTCGTCTGTTGCTTCCGTCCGCTGTTGTGCATGGAGCACGTTTTTTAAAATGCATTGTGTCAGAAACAATACTTCCTAAATATATTTTTTCATTGATGTGCCTGAATATCGGCAGTATGGCTCATCATGAATACTTTTACACTTAGATCGCACCTGTAATTGCCGTACGCTGGTTCGAATCCCGTAGGTGATAATTATGTGGAAGAGGATTGCTGGACTCCTCTCCATCGTGTGGTGATTCACGTAACCGATGGTCGGTTACGGCTTTCTCTACATAATGGTCAACTACTCCCATATCCGACATCAACTTGCAAACGCAAGCGGTCGAAAAGCTCTGCTGTTGCGTGGCGCATCATGTTCAGCGTTAGGAATAGGCTCGCCACCACGCCTCAATATCGTGCGTGGGTTCGCAGGCTCAAACGGCGTGGGTAATAATTCTGTGCGAGAGAATTGCTCCTCGACACGGTAGGGTGGTGTACGTCACCGCTGGTTAGTGGGGGCTTTCTCCAACATCAAGTCCATGGAGCTGAAAAAAAAAAAAAAAACTGGCTAACCCCCTCTCCGCGGGATAAATATGTAAATCCTATCCTCTTAAGTTCCATGGAGCTGAAAAAAAAAAAAAAAAACTGGCTAACCCCCTCTCCGCGGGATAAATATGTAAATCCTATCCTCTTAAGTTCATTCTGCGTGTCAGGGATTGCACTAAGGGGACGATTACATCGCTCATACCGATATAAATCGCTGGTTCCCATGCACGTGTCAAATTATAATCAACTTTACCCTTCATAAGAGATTCGCCTACTTATTATTCTCTTTCTGCATTCATTCTTCTATATAGTCGCATGCGGCTCTCAACAACCTTTCCTGCTGCTCTTGTTAATGCTTTGAAAATTAATTACTTTCAAACAAAATTTTTCAATGGAAACTAATCATTGACTTAAAATGAGGAAGTCTATCAGTTAGTCGAATGGACTCCACCGTGTTTATTTGCGTAGCGTTGACTCACTAATCTACAAGATGCAATAGTGACGCAACAGTAAGCGTTTCGCGGCCACTCGAACACTTTTCACTTGGAAAGATTTTAGACATGGCGGTAATCATTACGGACTTTCATGCGAATCATCGGAGCGTGACAGCTGCTGCCAGATACTGTTTTTACCTCACTCTTGGGGGACGCGGCGGTTTCGCTCTTCATTCGCGAGTTTGAGCTGTTGCTTGGTTGAGGGCCAATGTTGCACCTGGAGTGTACTGGATCAGGTGGAACTCGTAATATCGTAATATGCTGACTCTATTAGATAGGATGTCTGAAGTCCGGTACCTGCCATACAGTTCTTCAAGTTGTGTTAATGCCACTGCTTACTACCGCGTTTCCCCAAAAATAAAACCTTGTCCGAATTATGAAAATTATTGTAATATAAGCCCTTTAAAATGATAGTCCATACCTAAATTAGAAGAAATTGTAACTTGATGGCAAATTTGTGGAGCGAAATCACAGGCTGAAAGACTTCTGTTTGCTGTTGCTGACTTGACTACATAGGGTGAATATAAGTTGTAATCGGAAACCTCACAATTCACAAAAATACAGTATGACAAATCTTTCAAATATAGCATTGGGCCTAAAGACTCCAATCATGAAATAACAAAACATGTTGATTCTAAACAATCATATATTATAGTATATACTTCGATACAAGGTGAAATGACACAAAGTTTCAAACACCGATATGACATTACTGTTTAACATATATAATGTTCGTTGCCGTTTTGATTTTATATATTAGAATCTGAACCTATATATTATCTACATTAAAAACATGAACAATGACAATAGACAATACGTTTATTTCGTCGTGCCAGAAATCACAACACAAGTTCACAACAGATAAAAAATTATGCATTACAGTAACAGATTTCATTGCAATTGACAGGAAATCGCGAAGGACCAGAAATGGTCATCATAAGTCAGCGACACCTAGATTTAAGACGAGTCAAAAGTAAAAATTGCAATTAAAGAAAGCAATGGATACAAAGAGAAACTTAGTCATTCAAAAAATTACCAACGAAACAGGGAGTGATATAAATATTCATATACGGTAGCATTTGGGAGAGAGAAAAAAAACATAAGGCGGGAAAATTCAGTGATTGATTTTTTTTTATCTTCGTTCATTTGGTCATGCAGGAAATAATACACAAATTCAAGGCACAGCTTATACAATACAGAAACGGATTTAGTCGCAATTTAAAAGCAGGTGGCTTTCATCGCAAGAAACAGAAGGGGTCATCATAAGTCTGCGACACCAACATTTGAAACGAGTCAAAAATTGAAATAATAAAAAAGGGTAACGGTAGAGAATATTAGTCATTCGAAAAAATTGTCCAACAAGGGGAGGGAGGGTAAAGATTCCTGTGAAACATCACATATAATTTTAGAATGAGATAAAAAAAAGTCTGGGAAATACATAAGACACAGTAGTTTTGAGAAAAAAAAACGATTTAGCATATCAATTTCCTGAACTTCTGTATAATGGCAACTATTAAATATTGTCTCTTGCAACATCAAATCGAGCTATATTTTTTATTTGCAGAAGAATAAATAAATAAAAAATTACATAACTTTTAGGTACGAATGAGAAAGCAGAATTCATACTCCATGTACATTCAACATATGAGATTTGAAAGTGAGAGGAGAAAATGATGCAGTTTAAATCATCTGACTATGAAATTGGAAGAACAGTCTCGGTGAACTTATTGCCACCAACTAAGATATGTCAGCCGGGCCATCAAAAATCCAGAGAACAGAAACATATTCAAGCCTTATTAGTCTAAAGGTGATTGCATGAGTAATAAAATTTTTTAGAATGAGGTGATCGAGGTATGTCATATTTGATAAAGCAAAATCAATTCATCGCGACTGTAAAAGCTATCATTTTCATTCCCAAAGTCACCACCATTTTGTACAATTCATGATTCGTTTGCTGTTCTACATAGGTAATATATTCAAAAATTTGCATTGCACCTTATTCATCATGTATGTTTTTCTCAATATATTTCAGATGGTGATTATACAATCAAAAAAAGAGCTGTGGTGAAGTTCAAACAAAGTGTGCCCTTGCTAAGCATTCTTGGTTGGGAAAGTTGAATTGTGTTCTCATGTTGTTGCAATATATTTTGAACCTACTTATGTTGGGAATTCTAAATTAAGCAAAATATTATTGTGTACAAATTTGAATAAAGAAATTGTTTCTTTTTTAATGCTGTTGCAACCAAAGCCAGTGTAATAAGACCAGGTCCCAATTTATTGTAAATTTGAGACATAACTTTTTTCGAAAATTTAAGTCTACCTTAAATTTCAAATGCCATTCACTTATTAATTTCCTGCATATCACCATTATTGCAATTTATACAAATCAACTTATGTAAAATTTCATTTTTAATAAAAATAAAAAATATCATAATTATTGTTGAGTGTTCGAGGGGTGCGAGTTTGACATCCTCTGGTCTACCCTGCTGAGAATGCATCCAAATGATATCCAGGCTTCAGCCCCAATCACCTATTAAACAAATTCCACATCCAGTAGGGCATTTATGCAGAGTCCCAACAACTTGGGGGATCATTCCTTTTCCTAATTTTCAATTGTAATCTTCTTATTAAAACATGATTGGTACCTAATCAAGGGTGAAATTTCTTTCTTGATAGCTGCTTTCTCCCTCCATATAGGCTAGTTACATTCTTTTGCAGTGCATTACAATATATAATACAATTTTATTTCGATTACTTTTACTTTGCAAAGTACGTCATTTCATAGATAGCTCTTAGTTTCCTCTGGAAAGTTTAGCTCCCAAATATCAGGCAAATCCTGCTCGGTGTATTCCAGTGCAATGACTGAATGAGAAAATCCAGTCTGCCAGTACCATCACTTTTGAAGTAGCTCCGTCTGATTTGTGTGACTGTGTAACAGAGCAGCTCAAATGCATAACAGATATACAAGCTAGTCTGTATTCAATCTATAAATGAGAAAAAGACTGCTGAAAAAACGCTAACACACAGCGATATATTTAAACAAGTCAAAGCAACGCACAAGTATAAACCTGACGATACGTGCTACGCAACGAGTGTCCCCCTAAACAGTACAAAAAACAGAGCTGGCAGCATCGATCAAAGGTCATGAAAGTTGGTAATTGGCTTGCTTCCGTGGATTTTCAGTTTTTGTTGCATTTTCGAATATTAGGTATAAATCGAATAACTCAATGATTATTTTAATTACTAGAGCATTTCAATTTTGTTCCAGTAATCGAAAATGGTCCCGAAATATCTGGCGATCATCTCAAGCAGCTACTGCACCTTGCATCCTCTACGATTACGACCTGCATTGACAAACTTATTAGGAATCAAAGCCATATTAAATGACTGTTAGTCTAGGGTGGGCAAAATCTAATAATTTGAATATTTTTAACGGATACCGAATAGTCAAATAATAAATATTGTTTATACATAACAGGGACCCAGAACGTCAGAGGTCGATACTCCATTTGCAAATTAATAGAAACATAAAGAGGTCGGCACTCGGCAATAAAGCGTTTTTTACTGGTTAATGGTTAATTTTATCATATATACATTTACTAAATTTACGGAACGGTCGTTTTTTTTTTTTTCAAAATATGAAATTGAAACGATACGTTAAGTGCAAAGCATATAACACCATGACGCAAAAACAACGACTTTTTAAATTTGTCGTTTTTTTTCTGATAGCGAGCGCCGTTGGGAAATCTCGCACAATTCACAATGGAGTTGGAGACACGCGAGTTTGGTGTCCAAGCAGAGCGGCGCAGGTCACGTGGTACCGGATATTCGAATAGTAAAATGCCATCCGAATATTTTGCCCAGCTCTAGTTGTTACGTGTGTTGTTGTTACAATGACTTTGTAATTTAAATACGCGCTTAAGGTTTGTTGCTATTTTACCTTACGTTCCCAGATAGCACAACTACGTTGGGCCAACGTTATAATCCGCCGGCAACCGTTGTACGCGGTTTTACAACCATTTACCATGGTAAGGCCATGATTGGCCTTCAACGAAACACTCCATTATGCGAAGAAATGCGCGCGCGATTCGAATATAGCACATGAGGTCGCCATTCATTTTGGCGGTACTCGTAATCGATAGCCTGTTACGGGGTTTTTGCCGTGGATGGGACAGTGACATTGAACTTTTAATGCTTTCATAGTAGAATGGCGAAAGTAGAGATAGCCTAGTTGTAACCGTGTAAGTTAATCTCATGGTACCGGTACCCTAAGTGCGTTGTCAGGTCACGGTTCATAAGGGTGATAGGGTACCATACCGGTAAAAGTTACATATTTATCCCTGGACACCGTAGGTACCGGTACCGGTAACGGCAGAACGAGATGAGGTACGGTACCGTGCTTGGTCTTTTGGCATTTTTTTGTTAAACCTTTTTCGGTTGCCATCTCTCATTTACCAGTATTCGTTATCGAGTACCGGTACCTATGGTAGATACCGGTAAAAGTTACATATTTATCCTGGACACCGTAGGTACCGGTAACGACAGAACGAGATGAGGTACCGTACAGTACGTTACCGTACTTGGTCTTTTGGTCTTTTGGCACATTTTTTTTGTTTAACTTTCTGAGGTTGCCATCTCTTATTTACCAGTATTCGTTATCGAGTACCGGTACCGATACCGGTATTGGTCCTTCATCCCTGGATATAATTTTTTATATTTACTTTATTTGTATAAGTGCAAACATTTCCGCAGCCCAAATCCAACCCGTTGAACGACTTAATCCAGTAATCTGAATAGTTGTACATTTGTGAACCTTCTGCCTGATGAATTTCAACAAATCTAAATACAGATCTCAATTGGCTGAAATCTAAAATATGTTTTAACAATTGCTGAATTGCCACAATCAAACTGAAACTAAAATTTGATGTTTTTGGGTAAAAAATAGCTCAAGGATTATTGTTTTCCCTTTTTGTTTTTGTAACACTTTAAATTTTTTTTTTAATTTTTGTCCGAGGTCCGAGAACTTTGTCCAACCCTGCTCTATTTCATATTTTCAGCTTTGTTGAGAAATAAATCACTGATTTTTGAATAATATCTATTTTGTTTTAAAATTCAATAGAATTATATTGGGTAATCATATATATTAATATGATTTATTTTCAGTATGTATGCTATGTAATCTTACCCAACCAACCTTAATTAAGTGTTATTATATTTTAAAGTGAATTGGAAAGTAGACCGCTAGCAAAAAAGATTCGGGCGATTGGGGGGAAGCCCATCTCTGTACAATGACTGCCGAATGTGCATGCAACTGTGCAATGCCCAGCGACTCTAAAAGTATGAAGTATTGTACGACACATCCTTTACAAATATTTGGACATATTTTGTGTAATATCCATTTTTTTCCGGTTCTAAATAATTATTACCGATTAGATATTCTGTCAAGTGTCAATATTACCATTGTAAGTTTAATGATATATGCCATTTTTATAATAGGCCCTATGACAATGGACTGGAAAATTCACCTGCTTCAATTCCCTCTTTCACGCGACGCAATCATACACTGTGTCATTTCAAGCATCTCAATGTTTCAATGCCCAAAACAGGTGTTTTTGTTTTATAGTTTGATAGTAGCTCCTTGCATACCTGTGCCATAAAATATTGCACAATAGCTAGATATATCGGTTGAATAATTACCTAGTACAACATCATGTGGTTAATACCGTATTTTCCGGCGAATAAGTCGCTTTTCTAGACCCAAATTTTTAGCCTGATTTTTGGGGGGGGGGTCGTCTTATTAGGCGAGTATGATCATTTTCATTTTTTTGTTGCCCTATTATTGAACCCGGACAATAAAATACCTTCGGCGATAGCATCCCCCACGTCCTCATCAGGTTAGTTTAATTAAATCGACATTCTCGTGCTGTGAATCTGAAATTTCAATGCTGTGATTATCATATTTGCATTATCATATATGGACTGAATATTACGCTACAAAAAAAAGTCATAGGCTATTTTAACCAATGCGCAAACACGGCGACCGCTCGAAAGGCATTGCATGGTAATTTGAGATTCCCGACGTTGATGCGATTTTACTACCCCGACTCATCGGCCGGTTATATGCAAAAACCCATTTTTTCAGGCCTAAAAACAGGCCTCGTCTTATTCGCCGGGTAGACTTATTCGCCGGAAAATACGGTAACTAATATTAATGAAAAATTTATATTCTGGTAATTAGTATAGGCCATTTGTTCACGTTTATCATCTGAAAGACAATCATGTACTATATATTGTGTAACACTAACTTGATTTTCAGAGATCAAGCCATGCTCCAATCCAGTCCATGGAAAAATTGTTGGGACAGGCGGTAGAAACTCTTATGCTACAAGCTACGGCATCTGCAACTTTCCACTGATTATAGTGTGGACTCGGACATAAAGGAATTGATGAAATTCATTGTCAATTTATTGTCTGATTACATTTTGATCCAGAAAACATTCAAGGATGAAAAAATCGCTCGTAAGTTGAATACTTTTATAGGCTGATTACATACACTTTACGGCAGTGGTTCCCAAACTTTTTTTTCCGCGACCCCAATTTTTGTAAAATCACAGACTACAGATACTTATGACCCCACAACGAGAAAACATTAAAAATCAATTTATTCTATTCAATCATTCTGATGAAAATCGACTGTAAGTTTGCGGGGCATTAGTGCAACGTGGTTGTACTTGTACTTAACTGTTTAGTTCAGTGGTTCCCAACCTTTTTACCCCAGCGGCCAGTGGGCAAGCAAAATTAATTTAAGAGTTCGCTGACCGGTAACACATGCCATCGTATGAAGACCACGATGTAAAAATCTCTGAGATTCAGAATATTTGTTTAGTTTTAGTACAATGTTAAAATATTGCAGATTACTCCATAATTAATTGGAAAGCTAAACAGAACATGAAAGTAAAATAGGTGAAAATACCCTTGCTGGGTCTCATCTTATTGCCTTTTATTTTTTGATGTGGACAAAACACATATGTGTATATTTTAGAGTAGATACTCGCGATAATTTAACATAGAGCTTTTGCAACGGATGGAAACCTTTTCATTAGATGTATTCTTATAATTGTGCTTATTTACTCATTCCAGATAAGATATTTGTCAAGTCTCGGAGGTTGCTCCAAGAAAGACTGGTTTGGAGAATCATGAGCTCAGTTATAACAAATTTACTCTCCCGCTCTTTCAACTGTGCAAGACGCGGTGGATAAGGAGTGAGTGGGACGCCCTTAGTTTCTGCTATTAAAGGTACGTATGTAATATGTTTATCATATTGTACCACCATCTTTCTCTGCTCTACCCTCTTCTATTTTATAAGTATAAGATTATTTTGACTCCAAATCAGCTTAAGATAATTCATACGGGAAATGAACAAAAATTGATTAAATAGAATCTGACAATCTGGAGTGAAAACAAAACCTTAATTAAGATTGAAGCGTAAAGAATATAAGGTTTTGCCAAAAAGATGCCTATCGTGTTCATGAATTAAATTAAGTTACTCACACACAACAACAACAGAGATATAATAAAATAAAAACAGGCGAGAAAATTTAGATAAGTTTGGTAGTAAACAAAATGTACTTGCCAGTTGCCACCCCATTCATTTTTATCATTATGATTGTCAAATTGAGTAATAATTTTGTAAGCAACTGTGAACAGTAAAGAAATTGAATGTAGATTTTGTATACAAAAGGGAACAGTATAGAAAAATATTTATTAAGGAGATATCGCCAAGCTGATTATGGTTAGAGTCAAGTGCCAAATTGCCAATCCAATGTTGGCACTTGGCAGAGTTTGGTGCATAATGGCGAACAGTGGTTTTCGAACTTATTTGTATCATCGCTCCCGTACAGTACTTTTTACATTATCATCCCCCCTAGCACAACAGCAAATGATGAAGTTACAAATAAATTTATTGTAAATCAATTAAACAAATAGACTAATCATGGTGCATGATGTTTCTAATAATATAGATGAATACCAACAAGGAATATTTGAAGACATTTTAGTCAGATAAAATCTCAAATCATCATTATTGCCTCCAACAAATATTCCCCTCAAAACATTGTCTACGCCCCCCTTGCGGAATCAAGAATTTCTGTATTTCTCAATTATTATTGTCTTGTCAATGTAAGCTTCACTCACACATTTGCGACTGCAGAAACTTGGCTTAAGATTCCTACTCTGAAAATTTGTTGGGATGCAGTCATTCAGACTAGGCTTTGAACTCTGGTGCTGTAATTTGCTAATACTGCAATTTAACACAGAATTTTAACATTTTTCAGCTCTGGATGATCTGGCAACGAACTCCGATTAATTTTATTACATGTATACATATTTGTAAAATAAAGACATTTTGTTATCTTTTGTTTTTTATTATATAAATAATGTTAGATTAGTGGAAAATTTCTATGTAGTATAGATCCATACCCTGTCTGTACAACACATCGCCTAACTTGGCCCGATCATGTGCCACGATTGTATTACAACGTGTCACCTACGTAGGCCCGGCCATATGTCACGATTGTGTTACAACGTATCGCCAACGTTGGACCGGCCATATTTCACGATTGTGTTACAACGTATCGCCTACGTTGGCCCGACCATTTGCCACGGTTGCATTACAGCGAAAGGACCGACGTTGGCCCAGCGGCCAAATCTTCGCTGGAACATGGTTGTTCGCCATTATTGGGCCGGTGGTTCGAACAACGTTCGGCCATGGTTGTTCCGACGTAGTTGTGCTATCTGGGTTGTTTGTGTGCGGCTCTTCATAACTTTGAGGTTTGAAATGCGGCTCTGGGACTAAAAAAGTTTGAGAACCACCGCTTTACAAGAAAATTCCCGGAGTCCGGTTCCTGTTCTAATTCGTTCATGCAATCTGTGTTTAAAAATTGCAGTGTTTTTAGAATGTGACTTGCATCGGTAATATTTACTTGAAAGCTGTGTCATTTTTAAACAAAGTCTTAAATCCGCGTTCATTCCGAAAAAATCTTGTTTTGTAGCTTTATTTTTTATTGTCGTGTGACCCTGTTTTAATGGCCGCCGCCGTTACTATGACTCTGTTTCATTTTAATGGCCGCCGCCGTTACGTCTTTCACGAGGATATTCTTATTTAGCAAACTTGGCGCCACTGCTCAGCTAAGGACCCATCCAGTTACCGGTATTCATATATATATATACAGGCGGAAAGTTATGTCCACCAGCCTAGCCTCATTTGTCAACGTTTTTGAAATTTAAGCAGACTACATAAAATGCACATTCAGAAGCATTAACGCTGAAAATAAAAAAGGAGCATAAGCAACTACGCATGACATTGGTGTGTTTGACTTGTCGTTAATAATGGCGTAACTTCATCCGAAGTTAGGATGTTCGACGTAGTAGTCAAGTCGCACAGTATATGTCCCTTTCCCCGAGCATCGACTTCCTTGTTTACCAGTGGCGGTGCGTGGTCATTTTGACAACCGCGGCTAGCTACTGCGGGACCAAGTCACCCCCATCTACGGGGACAGGATGAGCGCTGTAAGTTCTCCCATCATTTTATGAGCATAAAAACCATTCCAACGGTAACAACCAATCGGCAAAAGCGACAATTTTTAACGATAAGAAAGTGTCTTTAAACCGGTCCAAGTCAAGGGATTAATAAATATAGACTTAGTTTATTTTGAAACCTCTTTCAAAAGGAAAGGCAATATTTACCCAGATAAATACAATGACATATTAACAGAAACTTCGGGAAAGCAGACAAAACCTAAAATAAGGTTTAAAACGTTACTATGAAGAAAGGAAAGCTAATGCAAAGATAAGGACATGCGTCGCTCACTCATAGATATATATGCTGCTAGACTTCTACTGCTTGAACATATGCCGCGGTTTCTTGGAAGCAAAATGCTCAATAACGCGCTGATTAAAGTCATGCATCCCAGAAAACACGTCTCTGTGAATGGATAAAACAGCCAAGGAATTTAATCTATCTTGCTTCATTGTGTTTCTGAGATACGTTTTAATACGCTTCAGCGTGCTGAAAGTTCGCTCTGCGTCGGCGGAAGAAATAGGCGTCGTCAAAATGATGTCCAGAAATTTTGCAGACGCCGCAAAGGTAGTTACTAGAGTGTTATCTATGAGGAACCCATAGAGCGCGCAAGTTGATGTGATGTTCAAAAAAGTTTGATTGGCGTATATACATCGCAATTCATTTTCCAATTTACCCACGTTTATCATGGGGTAAAATTTGGAGACAGTAGCCAACAAATGGATGGGAAATTGACGTGCAAATTTTGAAAAAATTTTGGGGTTCATCAAAGAGAACGCGACAAGGTGTTCAGTGCGCAGACGATCGCCTATTTGATTCATCAGAATGTCACAGCATTCCTTTCCAGACAAAATCAAACGCTGCGTTGTTTGCCCGCGGCGTAAAGAAGCACTCCATGTGTCGTCGTATTTTATTGTTTCCCGGATACGAGATACAGCATCGCAGAAGTCTGAAATACACGACTGCACAGACGCTCCATCCATTAGCCTTGACTGCAATGAGCCGTATAATACATCCACGTGATAGAATATTGGGGAGAAAAAAGCGAGAAAAAATGAAAACTCACCATCTTCTAGCAGACGCTTTAGACCTGCCGCCTCCCTCACAGAGCGTTCGTCCCAAACCGGAGAGCTCTGAATGCCATTGAAACACTCAATGAGCTCAGACCTAATTTCGGACACGCCCTGCACCACGCGTGATTGGAAGTTCCAACGTGTTGATGCACAAGCTGGGAGACGGCGGCTACATATCTGGCGAAGGAGGTCAGAGCGCAGAAAACCCCGAAACATTTGCAAAAAATATACGGACGAGAGGGGTATCAAGACACATATTTTTAATAACGAGGTTAAATTGGTGTGCATAACAATGTAAAAAATGCGCATGAGGAAAATCTTCTTTTATATAAACTTGAACACCATGTTTCGACCCACTCATGACTGCCGCGCCGTCATAAGTTTGAGCTATCAATTTTGACTTCGCGTTGTAAGGCTGTAACACTTCTTTCAGTACAGCCGATATCCCGCAAGCCGTGCGATCAACGATTGGTACAAAGCTGTGAAATCTCTCGGTAGGTTTACCATCTTTCACAAACCGAAAAATCACAGCCAGTTGGGAAACGCACGTGATGTCCGTTGTCTCGTCAGACTGAATCGAAAGGAACTGGCAATTCTCAATTTCCAGAGCCAAATGTTGTAAATAAATGTTGTCAATACTGTATCTAGGGATGCGGTGTATTCCACCATATCCAAAAATACCCCTCTATTAGAAGAGCCAGCCCGTTCATCGTGCCCACGGAGGGACAGCTCGTGACAACCAATGAACTTCAAAACATCTATCAATCGACCGAGAACGTTTTTCTCGACGTTTTGGTTGTGCCGACGAATAGAAACCGCGCGTCCTTCATCCAACTGTGCTGCAATATTAACATTTCCGAATGTTCGGTATTTTACTGCATTGTCCAGATGCTCCAAAGAAGATTGATGATCCCTGGCACGCTCGGAAAGATGTTTAAGATCTCTAAAACTAAATTTACACCAACGTGAGTCACGGGCGGTAGCAAAAAGTAGGCAATAAAAACAAAAAAGTGCATTTTTGTCCTCGCTGTAACACAACCATTCGTGTTTTTTATACCAAGTTTCTGCGCAGAATGTACGCCGACGCTTTCCTCCGTCATGGGATTGTTCCAGTGAACAATTTTTTGGTTGATAAGGCCCAAGACGTTGTACCTCTAATTTTTGTTCCAGCGGCAGCTGCGAAAACGGAGTGCGAAGTAGTGCATCAACCTTATTGGACACGTAGTGGACATAACGATCGTTTCAATATTATGTTGTTGTTGTTGTTGTTCTTGTTCTTTGACACGTTTTAAAAAGTCGCTTTTCTCTTCGAATACTGGACCAATTGCTTTGAAATTTTCAGTGGTTAAAGATAAAAATTTTCTCCAGAAAGCTATTCTTTTTTTTCGCTATGACGTCATCAAAATTATGTGACTCTACGTGTCCATATATTTGAGCATAGCTCTCTTGTTCATTATGAGGTCTAAGGCTAAGAAATGCGAAGCCGGAAAGAAGTGAGGAGCTCAAAAGGAATGTGGAAAATCGAAAGCAAATGGACTAAAGGTCTCTAACTGATTCAAATAGCGGAACAAGCGACAAAAACGAAGGCGAGGAAACTATCAACTCTTCAAGCAACCAACGAACGAGAAGGAATGCGTGAATATGTCAACACGTTGTTGTAAGAAACGTCGGCATTGTGTCGTCATAATTTCGGGGCTAGCCCCGATCGGCCCCGATGATTTAGTAAAAGAAACAGAAAACAAACGAGACAAATGCGGCGAGTGAAAGATAAAAGAGAGAATACGATATACAATGAGTAACCGGGGCAAAATCGGCGTCGCCCCGTCGACGTTCGGCGAAGGCTTTGCGAGCGAAAAATGAACCATGTCGGGAGAATATGGCTAGTGTAGACAGTCTGTGCAACCGATATTGAGGTATTTTTCGAATATTTTTTATTATACCGAAAAAACAACCGGGGCATTGCCCCGGTTGGCCCTATTGACGCGCCGCCACTGCGGTTTACTTCGTAACATTGGCCAATCAGCAAAATGCAAAAATTGACGTAACAATGCTCCATTTTCGCATCCGCTCAGACATTTTTCTCACTCAGACAGATTTTCGAGAGTGGTCGTAAACATTACCTCGTTTTCGCGTTTTTGAACTCTATTCGTTAGTTTTCAGTTGTGTTTCGGAAACTTAAATATAAATCAGACAATTCAATAATCACTCTGTCTTCCTAGGAGTTTCAATTTAATTGCAGTAATAAAAAATGAGTGTTGAAATAGCTGTGATAGACTAGGCTAAAATTCTTTACCTTTACCTTTAAAAAACATATTGTTGTATGCAATGAATCATATTGATGGTTTGAAACACATACTCCGGTTTACAGGCGCCAACTCGCAAAGGCACTCTTTCGGGGGTCAAAGGTCCATGGTACAAGTCTAATCTATAAACCTAATGTCGAGGGTCAAGGCGAGCTGAATGTATCCGAGTCTCGATTCAATGAGTCAGACTTAGTGACGGTTTGTTGATAAAGAGTCCGAATCATTTCATTTAGAATTGACTCGAGTGTTTTTTTCACAGAACAAAATTGAGTTGAATAGCCCCAACACATTTCACCGTGATGTAATTTATCCCAGTTCCACAACTGATTAGAACAATTTCATGCATTGGTTGTAAAATAAACTGTTCGCTCTTTTTAAGTAAATGGCCGTAAGTAACGTTGACCGCAACGTTAAAGTTGGAAGCTGCTAATAAAGACGTGCCATATGTATCACAATGGTCTTGTTAAAGTGTTTGACAAAGACTTAGGGGATTGGTACAGTCAATGCGCTGCCAATGTGTTCGTCGTGAAACGTCAGAGAAAACTTTTTTCTCAACACCTATACAAACAACAACCAAAATATATTTTCCCCCTGAAAAGTTATCTTGAGAGAGCAACGAGTTTGTTGAAGAGATTGACGGATAAACGTGACGGATTAAAGTCCATGCTTCCGAAACAAACTATATATATAACTAATCCCATACCCGACTTGGAATGGTAACCGGACGACAGGCCGTGGTTCGCCATATGGATAAGCCTTCATATCGGATTTCTTCTCCCCCGGGATCCTATCCTATCCTAAAATATTTGAGTACTGCCTTGAATTAAAATAAAACAGCAAAATCTTGAATTCTTGTCACACCCCATACAGCCATAAAAAATTAAAATAAAAAAGTATTAGCCCTCCGACGACTTCTTTCAAAACAATTGGTTTATTAATTGCCGAGAAAATCGATTTTCTCCAGCAGCAATCACTTCAACAAGAACAACGAAAGCATTTAGCAAAACAGTCCATAGATCCATTACGTGTGTAATAAAGTTCCGTTGCCAGGTTTTATGACTATTTCGTTAGACATCGTTTTCTCGACTTCTTTCTCGTGTGTTTTACAAACCCGACTACAAGCGAGTAAGCGACTGCATACAACTTCTAAATACTAATATGTATACAAATTAATTTTATTTTTGTCAGAACACTCCCAAATGACGAGTTCATACTCGTTGGGTAAATCTGAAACCTTTTTCGATTCAGCCTTTTCCGTGCATCTGCAACAGATAATTGGCCTATTAACGATTTGAACCATATATCTCTCCTTATTCATACATGCTTATGTCGCTTTATTGAAATTAAAAGTCACAAAGAGCAAATAAAATCCCCGTGCTTCTCTACGTAGCCTGATTAACGCTAGAGGCGCAAAGCGTAAGTAATTTCTGAATTTCCAAATTGCACCTACAGACAGACTGATGGACCTGTGTGCTGTGTCTGTTAGTAGCCGGTTTGATATTGCAGTGTTGGGATGTGAAGGATTTTTCTGTTTTGCGTTTAGCTTCAAAGGCAGTTGAAATAACGCCTAGGGCCGTGTTTTTCAACCTATGGGTCGCGACACAAAACTGGGTCGCCTGTTAATTTTGTTAATTTTCTTAGCGATATGAGGAATGGGACATACGTCACATACGACATGCCGGTCCGGTACCGTACGATACCGGTACCAGACTATTTGAAAATGGAGTGCAGGAGCGGGGTCGATTTTAACTGAACGCAGAAACTAGTCTATCATTCAGTCATACCTCGCCATACGGATTTTTTTAATCATAAAAATTTCACATCACATTTCTGTTTGGTCTGCAAATTATGCCTGCACTTTTTAAATTTAAATAGGCCCCATCTTTTCGATATACTGATATACAGCCTAATACAGGATATAATGCAGTAATCTCTGAATCACCTTTCGACTCAGTCAAATAGAATACAGGATATATTACAGGATCAGGAGAGCAAAAAAAATCTTCAGTTAAGGGTGCTTGCAGAAGAGTGGTTAATTTCAGAATTAAAACTTTTGAACTTCTATACAGTCTATAATCTATCTCGAACCTAGCCTATTTTTTTTGCAGTTTATTAACAACCAATGTAGCTTTGATACATCTGAATTCTAGAATTGGGACTGTCTGACTGACGGTGTCGTAGTAATGAATCTGCCATTGAACAAATCTGGTGGAAGAGGAAGACCAAGTCTAAATTTGAGATTTTCTTTGCCGCCTGGAAATGCAGGTGTATCACCAGGACAAGCTAGGATAACTCCTAATTTTCCAGTACCCATTGTAAGACAACCAGTTCAACCAATTTTAACTCCAGAAAATTTATCGAGCATCGGAAAACTCATCATAGGACCTTCACAGGTGATGAACAACACTGTTACATATCTTATAGATTTATTTCCAGATCCCGAAATAATGTCAACTGATCAAAATGTTCTATATCCTGATATCACTCGGGACATGCAAAATGAATATTGTTCATGATATACCACAGTATGTTCTAATTTTTAGGAATAGGAGTTTTTGAAATATGGCATTCAAATTATTATTGTTTGGCCGGTGAAATCTGGGAAGCTGATCATTTTTGTTTCAATCAACTGTTGATAAAACCAAACAAGTTGTCACATTATGGCTCTTATTTAACCATCCAAACTCCTAAATGAATCTGCTTCAGTAAATCGAACAAGGCTCTACACAATATGTACTAGTATGGTATAAATTTGATGTGAAGTATTTAGTTTGTGGTGCAATTGCAGCCCTATATACAGTCTACAGATAATTCATTTCCAATAGTGGGAAATATGTGATGAATTTGATGAGTGTATTATGAATTTTCCGTTTTGTTTTAGAACTAAAAATAATATTCATACTTTTGCAGGTGTATGATTTTACTTCGAAAGATTTGACGGATGAAGGAGAAATAGGCCGTGGTGCTTTTGGCACTGTAAATCGTATGAGACATAACGATAGCGGTAAACAGATGGCTGTGAAACGAATCCGATCCACTGTGGAGGAGAAAGAACAAAGACAGCTTCTCATGGATTTAGATGTGGTCAGTGTCGTCTTTGGAGTGGTTGATGTAGTCGTTTATATAAGAGTTTCCGAAATGAATAGATTATTCGGGTCATTTAGAAATTGATTGTATTAGACATTTTTGATTCATGATTTCAGAAGTGAATCGAAATATTTTACTTGAAAAAAGGATATTTTGAGAAATTGAAGTGTTACGCATCACTTTGTTTAATTCCTGAAAATGATGGTAAATGTCAATCATATCATTAATCTAGACCGGGCGTGGGCAATTACTTCCCTAAGTGGGCCACTTACAAATAAGTCTTGGTTACTGGGCTGAACCTAAACTATGAATGAAAAAAATCATTTACAAATAACTAACGTCGATGTTAAGTAACAATCGCCTACCTGCGCGCTTCACATAAATTGATGTATGGGCAGAAGGAAAAAAGTGTGTTGCAGTATCCACGGCCGCACAAAAAAAGCCCTAGAAACATAATTTGTAGGCCTAAATTTCGGATGGGTGAGTGACTCATTTTGCACAGCACATTATATTCGGGTGCGGATAATACGCAGGGAGTTACAGTATTTATTTTAGCCAACCATTTGTTATTTTTATTGATAATTTCCATGGAAATTTATATTCATAAAATCTATAGTCATAATTTCAGGAGAGATAAGTGGCCCGGATGAAACACTTCGATGGGCCGGATCTGGTCCGCGGAGTGTGATTTGCCCTCCGTTGATATGGACTTTATTTTCAAATTGAAACACTTGGAAAATATATTGGTTTCTAAGTATCAACGCCATCCTATGACCTAGCTTTGAAGTTTAATGTTTCAATTTTGACATCGTGACATAATATCACATTTAAAGTATTGTCCATTCTGAATTGACTGTCGCATACTTATGTGACATTGTTTGTAAAAAGTCCAGCTAAATATATATTCTCATCACTTATTATAAGGTCTCATATTGATTAAAAATTTTATTGTCTATAACAATATTCTGTTCATTAAAGAAGAACATGACTCCGTAGATCTATTTAACCCAGACCCCTATTCTAATCTTTCAATAAAAATTCCACTTCTCTTCCAGGTTATGAGAAGCAATGATTGTCCCTACATAGTTCAATTTTATGGCGCATTATTTTGGGAAGGAGATTGTTGGATATGCATGGAGTTGATGTCTACCTCTCTCGACAAATTTTATCGATTTGTTTATAAAAGATTAAATAGTGTTATTCCTGAAGAAATTTTGGGGAAAATTGCCGTGGCAACTGTTGAAGCCCTGAATTACTTAAAGGTAAAATATGTATTTTTAAACAGATGATTTTTGTTATATTATCAGCACTAGGAAAAAAGGTAAGTGTGACATATAGTTCTGTAAAGATTGGTAGGAGATATCTAATACATAAGAATAATTACTTTAGCTTTTCCACATATTGAAATATTTTAAAAATCAGCTCATCAAAAAATATGCAAAGATCCAGATTCGGTTGATTTTTGGGGAATGTAGCTCATTAATCAGCACTTGATAATTTCTTCATGATATACCGTAATAAAGTCTTCACTGATTATCTTTTTGATTAGATATACAGTTTCCCATCCTTAGTAAAACTGTGTTTTCATCTCTTAATTTGTGTGTAGTTTTTTCATACTGGTTAAAAAAGAAATAAACTCGAATTAACTTGACACCTGTGTATGTGTAACATAACAATCAATAGGTGTTGTCAAATTTAAATCAAATATATTCTAAAATATTGTCTCTGAAAGACAGTAACTTTTTCAGAGTTAAAATGTCTGAAAAAGTTGTTTTAGAAAATCTCGATCATCAAAGTTTTGTTCAATTTTTATTTTTATATCTGATTATGTCATTCTGTCATTGCTTAAGGCAGGGGTTCTCAAACTTTTGGTGTTGCGGAGCCCTTGAAAAGGTTGACTATTATTCACGGAGCCCCAAAATAAATGTTAAAATTGTTACTTTCAGATTAATATTCCTGAGCAAGTTAAAAGTACTTTACTTAATTTAAATGCTGAACCTTAGGGTTAATACAAGTCATACATAAATCTAAATTTCAAACATAAATTATATATACACTAAAGCTGTAAATTTAACACTTGACAAACATATTAATAAATAAGGGGTCGAATCTTTTCCCTTTTGACATTTTTGGAAGACTTAAAAGGCCGCCAATAACGTGCGCGATTGCATTTTGTTACAATCGCCGATTTTTTTCGTCAGCATGGCGTGTCTTTGAACCTTTTAACATCTTTACGCCGGTGTTTATTCTCCCTAAATCAAAAATTTCCCTCGGCATATATATACATGTATTGTTACACAATGACGACGTTATTTGCTTTTTTGTTCTCGTGGGGAATTATGAGTTCAATGTGAAAAACATGTTACCATATTATAGTCATCAGTGACGAAATGCTAAAAATAATAATTAATAAAGAGGTAAATCCGCAACTCAAATTTCTTGATTGAAAAGCGGCATTCTGAAATAATAAAACTGAAACTTAAAATGGAAGATCACAGGTTTGGTTTCAGTAGACTCACCTCAGATTGAAAACGTATTTATAGACATTGTAAATCACAAAATTTGGTGTTATGTTAGGTTTTCATCGTAGTAACTGCGAAATCGAAACAGAGTCAATTGTGCGCGCGTGTACCTTTTCCCCCATTATGAAACTACCGACGGAACCGCACGCAATCAATTGTGCGCGCTCCGCGATGTACCTTTTTTTTCATTCCGAAACTACCGACGGAGCCGAATGCAATAAAATAAATTTCAATTGTTCGTTAAATGCTCGCATCGGTCATGGATTAAATATTTTACCCAATAGAAATCTTGTTATCCGTTTTTTTAATCGCGAAGAATGTTGCGCGGAAATTTCTGATTCCAATTTTGAACCACCTCCCTCTTAAGAATCCTGGCTGCGCTCCTGCTTATAAATATTGTCATTTTTTAATTCCGCCTCTTTGCCATATTTTGAGGCTATTTTGTTGTCAGATTTTATCAAAGCTGTTATTGCTTCTTATTAGAACAGTTACAAAACTAGTTAGTATTTTGAAAAGTAATCCAATATCTCGCGGAGCCCCTGGGTTTCTCTCGCGGAGCCCTGGGGCTCTGTACGGAGCACTTTGAGAACCTATGGCTTAAGGTATATATATAGTCGTAGTATATTCGAAAACAAACTATTCCCTTGGAAGGATTTTAAATTTAAATCAGTTAATTTTTTTTTTTCCCTATATACTGTATTACTTTTTCGTTCGTAGGGCATACTATGTGTTTTAATTCAGAATGCTTCAATAAGAAACACCCACTGATTGCTTGTTTAGATTACTAGGTTTTAACTCACCTAGGGCCAAATGTGTTTTCAGTTTTTATGTTTACTCTACAAAGTAATCATCTTACATTGTTTTGTGCGGTTATGTACTTGGAATGTTTTCAATAGTTCACATTCCTCACTCTAATCTTTTGTGTTCGGTGTTGACTTTCATTATTGCATTGGGTAAAATAACAGCTGCACTTGAAGCGTATGTGAGATATTACCTTGTCAATCACATAACTTGAAGGCATTTGCAATGCTAATCTCTCTTCATTATTTATAATTTGCAGCTATATGTCGTGAATTGCTTATCATTATTGCAATTTTAAATCACTGGTTGGATTCATTACATGTCAATGTCCATGAAAAGAATAATTTCACAACTTTTCACAAAAGCAGGGGACTGCACAAAATCATTTGGTGGGCCACATGCGGCACATGGGCAGCAGTCTGCTGATCCCTGATCTAAACTTTCGCAATGGTAATTGGGTTTTCATAAACAGTCATGTCATTTCCAGTTTTTTAGTTTCTGCAATGACGTATTTCATATTGACCATATTTCAATATTCAACTATTGGGGTAAAAGAGTAGCAAGTAAATATCACAATCAAGTTTACCACTCACATGTATATCACTTTATGTTTAAATTAAAGTTGCTTTATTAATATAGATTATATACCCACACCTATTATACTTGAATATGAGTCACGTATACCCCCACTAACTGCATAAACTGCATTATAAGGATAAAATTTTTTGTAATCATTATTTTATACAATATCTATTATTGTATCCATTACAATATCTAATATTTTCAAATATAAATTTCAATATATAACTTTAAAATAACTTTTATTACCGGTAATTATTTCCATACAGACATACAACTGTCTGCTTTTTTAAATCTTTGCCACAATTGCATGCCTGATATGTTGTGAAGATACAATAGATTGCTTTGTTAGAACATTCATGGAAACTTTTATGACTCATTCCAGTAGACAAACCCTAATATCTCATTGACTAAAAAGGGGTTTTCTGTCGTTCCGCTTTTCTTTTATTGTATTTCATATTGCATTTTATTACCCAATTGACAAAGTATTATCATACATCATACGTTTATGGCATCATGTTATTTTGAATGTTATTAATAATGTCAATAACTGAGTTGGACTTTTTTCTATATTTTTTGATTATTTAGCATGGTTTGGAAAAATTCATTTGAACAGTCTAAAAAGTTATTAAATTTATGTCCATTTATGTTGATTGAATAAAGGGTACATTATTTTAATTTCCCACTGATATTTTGAATTCATGTCATGTTTAATTTTTAATATAATTACTTCTGATGTTTCATTGTTTCTAATATAATTGGTTTACTTGATATCTTTATATAATTACACCATCAGTTTTTTAGTGTGAATATTTTTTTGAAATCATCCGTTTTGAAATCATCCTTGTGAGTGATGTCGTAGTGTTTATTGAGTTGGATACAACTAAGCTGATTGGAAGATGTCAGGTTCCAAGTATTGCTTATTGCCTCACTCAAGGAGTAGTAAAAATTGTGCAGGCAATACTGAAGCTAGAAAAGCTTAGAGCCTTTTCTGTATAGAAAATGTTATTAAACACAAGAATTTTATCCTTTTTGATAATATTTCCTTCTTTTTTCAGGAAACTCTTCAAATAATACACAGGGATGTTAAACCTTCCAACATATTAATCGATAGATTTGGAAATATTAAATTGTGTGATTTTGGAATTAGTGGACAGCTGGTTAATTCAATTGCGAGGACTCAAGATGCTGGTTGTAAACCCTATATGGCACCAGAACGTATTGATACAAATCAATCAAGAGATGGTAGGTAGACTAGATTAGTCTCGGAAAAAATTCTGTTCCTTGTGAATTGATAATATCCTATTCAACAGTATCCTTTTAGTGTTTTAAATGGAAATTATTTGGAAATATTTGTCTTATGGAGAAGACTACTTTGTGACAATCTATGCAGAAAGAAATTTGTGCTATTGCAGGAATTATAGTATTTCTGGAATCTGCCCAGTACGTTAGGGCGAGTTACCTATTCTTGATACATAACGTACAATTAGTGTGCTACCCCAATTTTGGTGTAGATGATGATCATTTGAAAATTATTCACAGCATTTGTATATATATAGCGGAGGATAATGTTTTTTCTGAAACCATAGTGAAACTTGCAGAGTGATCATTTTGCAGGGTCATTCTAAAACATCATTGCATCCATGTTTCATATATATGTTTATATTTCTGCAATATTTTAGGTTACGATGTTCGGTCCGATGTGTGGAGTCTTGGCATCACAATGATTGAACTAGCTACTGGAAAGTTTCCATATCCAAAATGGAACAGTGTTTTTGATCAACTTACTCAGGTATACTTCTCGTAGGGATCATTTGTTTTTTCTCAACTTGAAATAATCAAAAATCGTTCCCCACTGACCATGGGCAAGCATTATTAGAGAATGTTTATATTACCCAAGTCAAGAAAACTATCTCAATTTATTGGTTCATGCGTTTTGAATTGAAAAATCTTCTGAGTGACTAAAGAATTAAATAAGCTACAATTTCTGAAGTCTTGGTTTTGGGAATGTACTGTAAAATAAGCTTTTATTAAAGGTCTAGAATGCCGTAAAAAGATTGTCGTTTTTGTATGTTATCGGCACTTTGATCAGGTAGTTTATTCCCGGTTCCATTACTTAAAATTTCAACAAGAACTTCAATGATGATATTTTAATCTATTTGTTTTTTCCTTCCATTTTCTATAAGAGCTTGATTGGACAGTGTTTAGGTAGTGATAGAGGGAATGAGAAAAGGTAAACAGTGAGAACAATTGTCAAGTTGAAAAAATAAATCATTTTTGTTTTAGTATTCTAACAATTCGGTGGTCAAACACATCCTGAACGAATTATATACCGACTACCTAGGTATCACTGTAATATTGATAATAAATTCTATCATAAGCAGAAATTTATGAATTCTGTAAATCTTATATTAACAAAGTAATTTTTTTTTTGACTGAATGTTTATAGGTTGTCAAAGGAGATCCACCCACACTCCACAATTCTGATGATCGTTTTTTCTCGGATGGCTTTTTAACGTTTGTTAATACCTGCTTGATCAAAGACACTGAACGTCGTCCTAAATATGGTCGATTGATCCAGTTGCCGTTTCTTATTCACATGGTGCAACGGCAAGTCAATCTTTCCCAATATTTTTGTTCTATATTGGACAATATGACAGAAGCAGATTTTCGAGGTGGGTCGGAAGATACATGAATTTGCAAAGAGATTTTCTGACAGCAGTATCGACCAATGTTCCAAATCGTTGATTCTTGCTTTTTTATTGGTCTCTGTTATTCGTAAGTCCATGCATGATCAGGTGCAATCAGTTAAATAAGCAATTGTCTTCTTACTCACCTTCGAAATTGAAATTTTTTTGAGAATACCTTGAATGTAAAATGAGGGATAATAAACTGATGATTTTTCGAATTTTTTCGAAATTTCGAAAATATTCATGACCCATCAAGATATTTTGTTGGGCAATTTTATTCAAAATTTCTCAACTTTTGAACCAAGTTTTACCCAATATGTTGTTAAAAATATATCCATATTTGTGAAATGAATATAGAATTTCCATTTATAGCCCCTAGCTGTTTTGATTTTAATTTCAATGGTAGGATTTACCATCCCACTGTTAGCATCATGCCTGATTTTTTTTACTTTTTATCATTTTTCTTGTTTTTAAGTTTGTCTTTCAAGTTTTTTCATGTTTTTCATGAATTTGGCAGTCAGTCTGCGGATTATTTTCTGAAACTGCTGGATCTTTTTGGAGTAAAATTTATAATTTCTTGAACTTGATTTTGGTAAATTCAGAATGATTTCATTTTTCATGAAATATGGAATCATATTTTAGGAAAAATTATTCCACTTTGATATAAAAATATATTGGTTAAATGGTTACATTAGTTTCTGGTTCTATTTGAATTGAAATTCTTTCTCTTGGTACAGTAGCATCATATTTTTATTCTTTCTAAAGTTTTATAGCAAATGAATGAAATGAATAATTATTGTTAAATGATATGATACTTGTTATACATTCCTAAGAAAATTTGCAATCAGGAAATTCCATGCACTTTTGGTTCTGTGAGATTTATACTTGAGATATTCCCAACCAATGATAAAAGGTTTCACAATTTTTCTCGATATATTTCTTACTCAAAAAATGAAATGAGTCAACAACTCACTCACATGACTAAGTTGCTTTCCAACAACATGTCATCACTTGAAGAAAGTATTTCAACCAATTTTTATGCCCCTCTGGAACAGTGATTGCTATCGTCGGTTCGTGGTATATTGTAGGTGAGACCAATGATTTTAAACAGTTGCATGATATAATATAACTTATAATCTTGCGTCTACCATGATCGGTTAAAACTGCTCGGATCTGAAAACATCTTATATTTTTCAAGACATACCCAATGTTTGTGTTACTGTTTGCGTTCAATCTAGCATATTTGAAATCTGTGTACATATATAAATGTTTTTGTTCGTCATTCTATATAGTAATGATGTTTTCTATCACTGCTGTAATTTCAACTGTAAACATAGTTGATTTTAAATGTAAACTGTTCAGGTAACCGATGATAAAATACTCAGTTCTGTAGCTGAAATATAGTCTGCAAGTTGTGAATTGCTTTATTTTTGTTGTTGCCATTCTCCATGCCTAAACTTTGAACAGTTAAGCAAACAATATCATAACTTTGAAAATCATGAAAGTCATAGTATAAAATCTATTTAATATCTGGTGTTCATTGAATCCATATTAAGAGACAAACGATTTGCAATTATAGTATAAAAATGCTGGCATCGAGTTTGTATTTTTCTGGTCCAACGTGCGAGTTTCGGCTGAACTCTGTATTATGTTAATATAGTTTTTAATACCAGTTATCATTGTGGTAATTGTATTAATTAAATATTACGCAAATTGCGACCGTTCGTCTGTTTACCAGATGCTGAGAAATTTTGAAAGCTTTCACTAGAGCACAGTTTGTTCCTCGGTACCTAGAATATGTTCACCCTGGCAAAATTTAGTTGAATAATATAAGCAACATGCATCATAAATTGTTAGGATAGGAAAAGGTTTACATGTTTACCCAGGAGAGGAAAGCCGATAAGAGTATATGATCATATGCCTCTCGTAAGGTAGGTCAACAGTCCATGTCTTGTATGTTATTATTTAAGCAAGATATATGTTTCCAGAGCATGGATTTGATGGTGAAGAGCCGTGATTTTTTCATCTGTCTGTGTGTTAAATTTAGGCTTACCATACGTCCCGCTTTTCAGCGTTTTGTCCCGATAAGTCAGCCAAAAGTCCCGCTTTTCCAGCATAATACACAAACATGTTCTCGTTACTATTGTTCCTGTGTAGCGCAGCGCTAGCCTACTCACTGAAGGTGAATGCGTTCGTTTCCCGCTGATTCCCATTGATGACAGACGTATCGCATGTAAAACCAATACTAATTGGTCTAAATTCGAATGGGGGTGCTCCTATTGTCCAGTGCTCCTATTCTACTTCATTTCTTGCTAAATCGGGCCTTTTGACAGTAAAAATACTTCTTGTATTCGCTTTCTGACAACTCCATGCGCACCCAAGCACAGCACAATGTGGAAGGTTAGTTATAAATAGTATGAAAGCAATCGATTTCTGTGAAAGGTACAGGACATTCAGACATTATATAACTGTATACAGGTACAAGTTGACATATGCATACAATTAGCCCAATAATTCTGTAATTATTTTAAACGACAGCAAAATCTGAAAATGCAGTAGTCTGAAATTTAAAAATCAATATATCACTATTCTGATATCATTGCATAGGACTGGTCCTCCATTGAAAGCACTGGCCTGTCAGCAGACCGGTAAAACAGTAAATATTAATAAGAACAAGGGAATAACTTCTGAACTTGAAAGTGTAGAATGTTTAACCTGTGAAACTACAATATAATATGAATTAGGATGCCTTATTTCTTCAATCTAGATACAGTATCTTAAAACAATTTTACGGCACTAGTAGGCCTTAAGTCTACTAGTAATTAGTAACCATATTCTTCATTATCGCAACCGAAGGCTGCCCTTGATCTAATTTCTTTTGTAGTAGGCTCGTGAGCTAAGTTTCATAATTTTTCTTACTCAAAACGTCTCTCTGATAGACATTCCGGTTAAAATCTCATGACTTTGGTGAAGATACAAGAGTGGCGATAAATGTACGCAAAATAGAAGTAAAAGTCAAAATAGGAATTTTTACTTACATTTTTAAAATTATAATTCCGGCTGCGTGTGCAGCTGTCAGAATGCAACGCTTTGTTGTCGTTTCGCGGCGATGCAAGATAAGAATACAGAAAAATAATTGATTAAAACAAGCCCTTGTTTTAAAACACGATGTTTTTATAAGAATTGATAAAATCAAAACCCTAAGCGCAGTCGTTCTTCTTGCTGTCGCTTAGTGAGCATCGTGTTTTGCCGCTCTGATTTTATCTGCTTTAATTAATGGCTTTGTTTTACACTATTTGAGAAAGTTTTTTCTTTTGCATCGTGAACTTCGAACCTATTGTGCGGCTTTGCAGCACACGGGGACAGGATCTTCTGAACTAATTATTACTGTATAAGTGGGAGCACATATTCTGGCAAAGTCTATCTAACCGCTGCAATTGGTATCCGTTCTGCGTCGGCTACGACTGAGGACTACAGGCAGCACGATATCGCGCTCAATGAATACCGTGCAGTCCCCCTTGAGCGTATGGAGAGAACAGTGTAACGTAAGTACAAGGACAGATAGTGCTACAAACTCCGTTAAGCGAATAAAAGATAAGAGAGTTGATTGTTGCAATAATTCAAAGCTGCTCGTGTACCACTCGAAAAGCTACCACGGCACACGTAGCACAACTTGAGAACCAACGGTTAAACGGTTAGACTTCCTTCCTATCTTTTTGACCGCGATCGATCGCTGTTACAACAAGCAAATTACTTCACATTCAACTATGTTGGCACTGGCAGGCGTACGTCTAAAAACGATGAAGTCTTTTACTTCACGTCGTAAGATTTTGGTATTACACATAGGCAGGGTTACCATATCGTCACGCTAATAACCGAATTGCGTATGTCATTTTTGGCGATTTTGAGTTTTTAATAAAATAGGTATTTATGTAATGCTGCGCACCTGTCTGTTAAATCAGATTTTATTTTAGGAATTCCGAAACCCATAAAAATGGAGATTTAGTATGACATGCACATTTGTGCAATTGTTTCGCCATAATGAATTATCATAGTTACCGCAGGACTATTGTGCCGTCACAAAGGCAAAATAACCTCGGCGAAGCATTTTGGAGTTTTTGCATCTCGGATTCTAGCTTAGCGCGTATTAATTCGAATTTATACTACAGTATAGGAAGACGTGCACTTGTTATATTCACTGTCCTAGTGCAATTCACCTTGGTTGGCTTTTATATTGGGTGCATTGCTGTTTTATTCTTTATATTTAATCTCGATCTTATTTCGGTGAGTGTGCAGAACGTGTTATATTGATGAAATATATATTTTTAAACATAAAAAATAATGTAATTGAAACTGATTAGCTATTTTGGGGATTGGACATTGTAGATACTGAGAATTACATTCGTTTTTGGAATGTTTAGTTTTCAGGACTGGTGCATATAGTAAAGTTGCAAAATTGGGTATGTCCCCAAGTCATAGACACATTTCTGCCTAAGTCACAGTGCGCCATTATGACGTCACTTAACTGCGTCATACAAATTAGCTTAAATCCGGCTACGATCAAAAAATTGAACCATGGCAAATTATTGACTCTCAATTGCATAACAAAATCATTAGGAAGTTTTTTACGTTTTTCTCAGAACTGCTAAAAATGACTTACGCAATTCGGTTATTAGCGTGGCGATATTGTGCTTATTTCTGATATTTGTTCTAATTTTCTAGCCCACGTCTTATAAAGTAACGATGTGCTTAAGAAAAATGCTTATTTTTGAGTTTCGTGCTAATTCTGTCTTAGAAACATAAATGACTCGTTCATGTTTTGCGTACAAAGCTTTCGTGGAAAGGAGGGACGATTTTTATCATTATACGCAACGTGTATTGGCGCTTAACTACGTTCCGTCGTAACATCAAGTCTCGGACTCGCTCACTCTCAGAGCGAACCGTTTCTGTTAATGGTAGGGTTTGCGGTATTTCCAGGCAAGCTGTGCCACAGTTACAATAGTTGCTGTTAGTGTTTAGGGATACTGTTTTCTTATAGGGACAAACCATAATTTAGACAAAGAGTAAGCACAAAGTCGAAAGGGAAAGCGCTATGCTCACTGCTGCTATTGTGACAGCGACATCAACCTAGAGGTCATGGGGAAAATAGCAATTAGTGCCAACAAAACATAAGAATCTTGCAAAAGCCTTTGGAGGAAACCAAAGTATGAAGACTTGACTTAGGAGCAGTGTAGCACCGTTCTAGGGACGTTAAGCACTCACGACCCCATGGTTTATCATTCCAATGAATAAAGTGTTACTTCGATTGGTAGATTCCTAATCCCACTGTGTTCAAACAATTCAGGCTCAACAAAGTGAAAACACCCTGTGAAATAAATTTATCAAGCAATGAAACTAGAAAGAACGGGGAGTTTTCTTGTACGGTGAAACGTAAAATCAGTTTTACGTCTGGCATGGTGCCCCCCTTGGTGGGTGTGGCTGTGACTTTGTGCTTTTCCATGGCTTCCTTGTTCGAAGCAACTTCTAATAATAATAAAAAATGGAGTGGATAAAAAATTTGGAGTGCGGAAGAGACTCGTGTGTGATTTCTTTCTCGTTTTTATACTGTGTTTCTGCCGTTGTTAAGTGCCCCCAAAATAACCTTTTGTCACCGTGCTTATTTTTGACTGTAGGTAGATGGTAACACTGTATATAGATTATAGGATAACGAATCATTACTTGTCTATACTAGATGCAAGTCAAGAGTTTAGTTTTTGCCTGTGCCGAAAAAAAATATGTGTAATGAGTAGGTACATTATTATTGTTCAACTTGCATGTTGGTTCGAATTCTTGTTGAAATATAGACCAACTTCAAGGTTGTTAGCGTTTTTTTTACCATGAACGATATATCAAAGAACCAATTGATCTGAAATTACTTTTCGTCAATGGGTTGTACGTACAGAATGAGCGCTTTCTTCTATGCAGAATGTGAAAAATATCAAACAAACTCACCTTTGTGATTGGCGAAATTCCTCACTATATGAAAGAAAAGTCAATCTAGTGGCAATGTAGTCATATATTTTTTATCGCTAGCTGAATAAATGTTTACTCGCTACGTAATAATTTTACTTCAAATGTAATTTTCTGTATATACCGAAATTGTTTATTGACTTTATATATCTGCATTATATATAAATATCAAGATGCTGACTTTAATTTTCATCGTTTTAACAACGTTGGGCTTAGCGGAATCAGACAACAGTAAATACGAAGTTGTACTATTTCATGAAGGTAGGTGGCACTAATATTATTTATTGGATAAAATTAGTTGCATTATCGCACCTATGCTGATTAATACTTCGAACGTTTTGTTTTTCAACTACCAGATAATTTGACCTGTAGACTCTTTTGGGATGTTGATTACAGTCAAAAGTCAATAGATATCACTATACAGCTGAGTGGACGGGTACTTTCTGCTGATTCTTCGACGCTTATTGGATTTGGAATATCTGACCGCGGTGGTGTAAATAATGCCGACATCTTATTGATGGAATACAGCCAAGAAGAAGTAGCAATTAAAGTAATAATTAATGAACTTATGATTTTCATGAAAAAAAAAAAAAATTGGGCTAAATTTAAAATGCGACTGCTGCTGATGCCAATCATTTATAATTTAGCAAACATTCGCACTAATATTGATGTGCATTCTTTATTGCATACAACGATTGATAATGTAATAATTCATGATACTAAACAAACGTCTATCCCTAATTTGGGTAGAGTTTTGGCGACCAAAATCAGAACTGTGTTTAAATGTTTCAAATATTTTGCTATCAAGAAAACGGATAACTAAATAAGAACAGTGATGCTATTAGAGCATTCATTTTAAATGAAATTACGATTTATTATTTATGTGGAATTAATTTTCACAAGTAGTATTCGAAGTGACATTATTTTGTACTTGCCAACTTTTAAAATTGCCTGAAGAAGTTTGACCTTGGTCAAACGAAACGTTACAGAAATACATTTGTGTTAGTGTGCAGCAAGACTCTTGAATCACTTTTAAAATTGATGTCACAATTTCTACAACAGTTTTTTGATATAAAAGTTCATTTTCATTAAGGATGGATGGTCGGATGACGCCGGTTTTATTCACTATGATGATATTCAAAATTATTTTCTCAAAACATATGAAGTTGCCAGCAATTTAATTACAATCGAATTTTGGAGATATTTTGATACCCTCGAGGACCATGACTACAAACTGGAAAATGGAACAACTAATTTGATTTATTTATTGAGTCGAGGTAAATAGACATTTATTTTAGGACAACAAATTTGTCGAAGAGTTATTTCTTCATTTAACAATCTACAGTGGCCACTTTTGATTTGTCATTAAAGTCATAGGCAAATATGAAGTTCAGTTAGACGCTATCATTTCAAAAAACTAATTGAATAGTTTCAATCTATATATAAGATGAGAAATATTATAAACTTTTGTAATGCGAAGATTTTATCTACGCAGGCGGTGAAGAAAATCACTCGAGTTCCGAAGCTTTTCCCTACAACGTACAAAGAACCACAACCGAGAAAGAATTAAACGTATACAATCTGAAATCGGGTTTCATACGAGTTCAGTTATTGAAACCAGAAATTCCCGAGTCTTATTTCAGAAATAAAAATGACGGAAAAATAATGTCAATGACTATGTTACAACCAAACATCTCTCTTCCGTCTAGCGTAACAACTTATTGGAGTTCAATTCACAAATTGCCAGAATCTATTGTGGGGAAAATTCATGTTATTGGTTTTGGTCCTGCTATATCTAGCAACAGTACAGGTTTAATTCATCACATGTTGGTAAGTTATTGACAAAAGTATATATGTTAAAATGATGTCAACTTTATATGAATATATATAATAAAAATGTCCAAACTATTTCTGAATAAAAACTTTTTTAGATGTATTTATGTGACCCCAACGATGGAAAAATTTCTCCATACAGTGGATTCTCGGCCTCTAGCAATGTACCCGATGACGTTAGAAGATGTAAAAGAGTGATCGGAGGTTGGGCTATGGGTGCAACAGTAAGTTAAATATATCTTTAAATGAGTTGCTAGCATTTATTTACTCAGAGAGAGCGAGAGAGGCACATATCAGTTTGTGTATTGGTTACTAATTTGTAATGCCGCCAAAACACTTAACTATCAATAGAGTGACGTTATAAAATCTGATATAAATAAACCCCGCAATATCTAGATTCTAGGCCGTGAGTAATAACTTCGACTGTATACTCAACTATTTATAATATATTCCGTTATTCAAAATTTGCCTAATTAGTTAATTTGTTGGCATCCGATGCAACAGCTATTCTACTGCCGTAGTAAAAAATCGAAATGTCATTCAACACTACCCAGCGGTTTTTAGTGGCGAGAAAGCGTAAAGTCTCTTTAATTATAGACAACTTGGTATCCTAAGGAAGTGGGATTGCCTCTTGGATTATCTTATCAATCAAGATACCTCAGACTGGAAGTTCACTACAACAATCCATTCAGGCGAAGTGGCGTGGTTGACAACTCGGGCATACGATTTTTCTACACGAATCATCCAAGAAAATACGACTCTGGGGTTTTAGAGGTCGGAGTTACCAACTCCAAAACAATTCTCGGAATACCTCCACAAAGAGATCAATTTGTATTGTCTGGAACGTGTACTAAACAATGCACATTACAGGTAGGCTATATAACTTGTTGATATAAGATAACTGCAGATAATTTTGCTATTCGTCATGAACAATTGTCATCAAGAAAACTACCAAAAAGTGCGGGAATGGGAAAAAAACCAAGTCAGCAGCAAAGGCCAATAAAAAAACAGGAGGAAAGAAGTGACTGGAAGCATCTAGCACCCATCAACAGCCTAAACCTAAAAAAATGTTGACGGGCGCTAGAATGTTTCATACCAAACTTCGGACCTCCTGTAGTATACGCACCAAGATGACGCACATCCTGAACTCAGGTTGTGTACCAGGTTAGGGTTCAGGTTATGCGACATCTTGGTGCGTATACTTCAGGAGCACCCAAACTTCTTTATTCCGTTATATAAACAAGTTCACTTTATTGCATTGGAGTGCATAGTCAGAACAAGGGGTTGGATAAAAGAACGATATTATTGTCCTCATAATATAACTATTGTCGGTTGCCTCAAAAATGTCTTGTCCAACGTTTCACACATTTGCATCACTTGTCCCATTCATGCCACATGTTCCACTCTTGTTCCGAGTGTTCTATTTTTCCCGAGCTTGTTCTAGTTTTGTCTCCACTTGTACCACGTGTTCTACACTTACCCTACTATACAAAAATCTCCCAATTGCCCGACGCGTTATTCGTGCACCGCCGCACTTGTCCCTCGTGTTTACCTACCCACCTAGTCATGATTGTCCAACACGTTCTTTTTGTCCACTTGTTCCCCGTAGTTTCCAAGTGACACATATGGAACAGGTGAGGGAGGTATATATGGTCAGCGAAACGGAAATTTTTGAGGCATCGCATACTATCAACACATCATGTATTCAGGGACTGCTACCCGACGGCATAAACATTTTCGCATCCCATTTGCACGCGCATTTAGCTTCGAGAAAAATTTGGGTTACACATCTCAGAAATGGTGCGAACTTACCGGAAATAAACAGAGATGATCATTATTCAACATTTTTTGAAGAAATACGACCAATTTATCCTCCGATGAAAGTTATGCCGGTTAGTGGATAAGTAGGGTATTTAAAAAAATCTATGAAATTCTTAATTGCTTCTACGAAATTGGGGTTATTTATTTCACAATTGGCTTTCCGTACTTTAAGGGCGTACTCTAGTCTAGGATATGTTCCAAATGATCTGGGTTCAGTTTTTTTTTTAGGTCCCACCTGGCAATAAAACTTACAAAATTTGAATAGTCTCATCAGAAAACAGCGTTTGGTAAATTATACCGAACAAAGTGTAAATTTAGTTTTTTTTACATTAGCCATTTTATAATTTTACACTGTCTTCCCATCTTGTGTAGGACTTGATGTTTAGGTACATTGGGAAAATATGGAGCTGGCAAATTCAGTCTTTTAATCTAATTTAAGGGCGATTCACTGACTACTCATTGTTCATATGATACATCCAATAGAGAGAAAGTTACTTTTACCGGACCTGCACTTACTGATGAAATGTGTCTTACTTTTTTGCATTATTATCCTCTCGCTCCACTAGAACTTTGTACCAGCGCAACTTCTGCTTCGTCATTGACTGAGTTTTTCGTTCTTGAAAAATTGTGAGTATAACTATTTTTGCGCGAGAAATGGTAACTATGAACTATTCAAAAAAAAAAAAAAACATATCGGTCTCATAAGACCCTACGTTAGCTTCTTTCTCATTTGAAATAGAAAGTACTTCGCTGAAAATATAGCACATTGTGGACTGGGTGCTTATGTGTATCGTTCGTAGTGCTAGTAGAAAATTAGATTGTCATATTCCAAATAGTAAATTACTGTAAAACAATGAGGAGTCCATCATTTCCTTTGCGTATAATGACTTCAGGATTAGGTATATACTGGACCATATCATAGTTTTGGTTTCAGATTGAAATATCTCGAGTTGTATTTGCTTTATTCCGTATAATTTGATAGACTACCGCAGTGGTAAACAAGAGTTTAGATTCGATAAGAGGGTGTTTTTATTAAGGTTGTCAAATCACTCCTCTGGTGTGTTTGACCGAATTTAAACTACAAATAAATAATTCATTTTTGAGATTGAAAAATCGTCCACAACATATTGACCTCGAAGATGTTTCTCCCAACTATAAAAATATGAGATGGGACGACGAAACGTCTATAGAGCTCGATGCTTGGTATAAGAGCGCAGCTCAAGACATCAAGTGTCAGCATCACGATGGTAGCTCTTTCCAAGATGTGACAGTGCTTTGATTTAGTCGATTACAGGCTTGTATTGCGATTTATTGCATCTTTTGACAACAGCAACATTTCAGACCAAAATCCTTAATTGTGAAATGTTTTTTTATATATTCACCTCATATATATTTAAGTTATATCTATATATATAAATAAATGTATGGTTCATATCTATTCAGTTTTTGAATAAGCGCCCAGACATACCCCTGTGTCTACATATAGTAAATGCGCTATATGGAGTGCTGTGGGTTTTTTTAGCAATAAAATAAGTATTTGGACATTTGTTGTTGTTGTTCGTCATGTTGATGGCGCGACTTTTAGTTGGAGATAAAATCGCTTTTTTGGCGGCTAATTTAATGTTTTCACTACTTAAAAGTTGAAGATGGAAGCAAACATAATTATTAAATAGATAAATTATCACTTCGAATTTTTAAACCATTTTCTCCGTTTTTACTCTGAACAAATTGCATTTGGTGACTATGATTCTAAGAATACTTCATGATTATTAGTTTTCGAATTTGTTTCTCACTCTTTCGTAGCATCATTGAAGAACGGAAAACCTTTTTTACCACCAAATTTGTCGTCTTTGATAATGATACTGAGATATATATATGAGAATAAACACAAGACAAACGTAATGCCGAACAGTCAACAACGAGAAATTTCATGATTGAATTACTGTTAAAGTATTCTATTTATTTAGATTGAAAAAAATAAATTCTAAATTTCAGCACATATTTGTTCTTGTATACTAGGGCGTGATTGAACAGCTTGCCAGGTACATTTCTTTCATATACACTTCAGTAGTATAAAATGTCGTGAGAGATTTTAAAACTATCTCTAATACAGTGGTTCCCAACATTGTTTGGCTCGCGGCTCCTTTGGTGGTTTACACATACCTCGCGACCCCGTGCCTCACTTTCTATACTAGTTAATAAAATAAGCGGGGGGGGGGGGGGGGGGGGGGGCTAAATTTAGGTGTGTACGAAATGTCGCACAACCTGAATATAGTGTGTGTGTGTGCCAGGTTAGGTTTCAGGTTGTGCGTCATCTTGGTACGAATACTTTCATACTTTCGGAGCGCCGAAATTTGTAATTGCCAAGTTTGACAGCAACAGGTGGAACGCGAGTTTCTAAGAGAACTGATGTTCTAAAAATTGCTATGTGTGATACAGAATGTTTCTAGAAATCGAAACTGAATATGTCAGGATTTGCCAGGAATAAGGGGCATTAAATGGAAATCGCGGACTGAACGGATGTTTCCCAGAGCATTGACTTGTACTTCGGGACATTGGCCAATCAGCAAGATGCAAAGAGTGACGTGTTTCGCATCCGCTCAGACACTTTTCTCGCTCAGACTGATTTTCAGGCGTCGTCGTAAACATTACCTCGTTTTTGAAATCTATTCGTTAATTTTTAGTTCTGTTTCGGATATTTAAATGTAAATCAAATAATTCAATGATCACTTTGTCTTCTTAGAGACTTAAAAGTTTCAGTTTAACTGCAGTAATAAAAAATTAGTGTAGAAATAGCTGCAATAGACTAGGCTAAAATTCCTCACCGGTACTTTTACAAAACAGATTGTTGAATGCTATGAATCAGAATAATGCTTTGAAGCAAAATACCCCATTTTACAGGCGCCAACTCGCATAACCACTCTTTAAATAAGCATCGAAAATTTTGCGATGGTAACGTATAGGAAGAAATTTAAAGGGGTCAAAGGTCGGGGGAAGACCCATAAATCGCCTTATTCAGTCACAAACACGTCGTTTCTACTTGACGGCATCCGGAGCCATAAAGTTTTATGCGCTTATTCGGCGCGTGGCAAGTCGCGCCTATTAGTCGTCGTTTTTACACATTCTGCCGCAGTCCAGACCCCCTCAATGGCTACGCCCCCTGGCTACGTCCCTGAAACTGAATACTGTGTAATTTAATTTGTCATCAAGCAGCAGTTTTACTCAATATTACGGCTGGCATTGAAACCGCGTAGCCAACTGCGTAATTCGTGGTTGAGTTATTACTAAAGCTAATCTCATATATATCATCCTAGACCGGGTCCATGTCGTCCAAAAAATTCCAACTTTTTCGTGGTGTATTTGGAATGCTTAGTCTCCAAATGACGTTTCAATTTGGACGGTTCCATGGATTCAGCACTGAAAACGACATTTCACAAGACACACTGCGGCTTCTCAATACCGCTGATGACGTAGGATGTGAGACCGAACTTCAAATAGTCTTCTTCATATTGTCGCTTCTTCGCCATGGTAAATAGAATAACGGAGTTATATCGTTACTGCAGGATGTATTATAATCTTCACGTTAAAACAACATAGACTACAAGCCTACCCTGCAGTAACCCCCCCGGTATCGAAATCCCGGTATTCCATAGCATTGCCGCATGTTTACCGCATCGCGACGCGCGAAAATGCAGAAGAGTTCGTGTGACGTCACAATGACTAACATGCCATAAACACCTAGCGCCCCTTGCTTGGTTCTCAAGCAAGAAGCAATATTCTGGGGTCTCACGACATCTAGTGGAAATCTCTCGAAACAAACGAAAGTCCATTCAAGACTTCTTCGAATTATGTTGACAATATCTAACCTAATGCTTTGTATTATTTTCTACTGTTTTGCAAGACCTTAGCGACCCTCAGGTTGGAGGCCACTGCTCTAATATTTTTATTAGTCCGGCAGATAAGGGGACCTTTTTGGCCCAAGTTTGATTTCAGACATAAAGTTTTTTTTATTTGTGATTATTCATCTTGGGGTCATTGCCCATCATTTCTACACGGGTGTGGAGTTTGCAACCTTGAGCAATTTTTTTTACGGCTTGATATTTGTATTAGTGTTATTCGTCAAACCTGTGCATCATAATGACGCACAACCTGAACCATAACCTTTTATAATACTATGTTCAGGTTGAGCGCAATCTTGGTGCACAAACTACGCAAGCACCAAATTTACTAGGAAATAAAATCAATAACTTTTAGGTATTTGTTAATCCCAGCTTTGGGTCGCGACCCAAATACAGTATATGGAAATACTGTCGAAACATACCCGTAAAGTAAAGAGTACTATTTCAAAATACCCGTTTTTGTTGCAATTAACAATACAAGCCTGCTAATGCAGTCGCCAGTGGTTCAAGTGGATATACACCCGGTGGAGAACAGTCAATTATTTGTTAGCGAGAATTGATATGCGGCGGGATGATCACGACGACGCAGTGAAAGATAATGATATCACGAGAACAAGAATGAGAAAATACTACATTTTATAGTATATCCCTGGGAAAGAATGTAGTTCATTCTTATGTTCCATGCCAATGCTTTTCAAACTACCAAAGACTCTTAACACTTTTGCTTCTTCTCTTCCATAAAAATACATTGTTATTATATATTTGCTTTTCCCTCTGTTTGTTCGTGCTCCCAGATAACCGATCAGCGGCCTCCAAGGAGGACGGGGTCCCCTTTTAAGAAACCCTGTCATAAACTAAAAGAGGCGACCGTGCTTCTCTTGTCTGTTGTCATGCTGTCCCTCGAATTCAGCTACAACAAAAATTTCACGAAAACGGATTTTTAAATTTTATGATTTTCTTAATATTCTCAACAATGAATGATATACGGGTGGTAAAATGGCAAGTTATTCCAACAACATGATCATATTTTGCAATTTACAACCAATATTTTGTATGTAACTTTGTTTGACAGAGCCCCGAGAGCTCTAACTACAAATATCAAAAAATGTGAGGCCGAAAAAGGCACACTACAACATTGTCAAATGTGCTGTATTTACGATAGATAACAGGTTTATCAAGAAGAATTACATGAAAAATGGTAAAATAAAGATCAATTCAGCAATATCTACTTGGTGATATGCATCTGTTAATGATTTTATGTGTTTTTTCGGAAGTTTAATAACAGAATTAATTGTGGTTGTTGGGGATGTTTTAAAAAAAGGTTGCATGGAAAAAAGTTTTTACAAAATGTCAAGGTTTGATAGTACAAGAGAAGTAGAAAAAATACTACCATGTTTTTTTTCATTTGATAACCACGCCACAGAACTTCCCCAATAAGTATACGCAGCAATTGCGAGAGGCAGAAATGCCAAGATGGGATTTCATCGCATTGCAAACCAATATTAGCAATTCTTATATATATTCGCGCATTCCCATCTGAACAGCGTGGAAAAGATTATACCCATCTACACACTTTAAGAACTATGTCAGATGAGCGTCATATTATCGAATATCAGTAAAGGAATAGCGCAATGGGAAAAGACATATAAGGCGGAACTTTCAGTAGTATGCAATCAAATAATCTAATTGTAGAATATATATTTAAAAACATTTCGTCACGCCAACTGCAGTCCGAAAATTTTTTTGGGTCTGGCTGAGCTTTGATACCAATTGGCACTCATGTTAACTGGTAAGACTGTAGGAGGCACGCGATGGAGCAGATACTAAGAGTATCCATCCCCCAGCTGTCATTTGAGTGGGTACTGCTGTTTTTATTGCGGATGTTACTGATCTTTTTGTATTAAAGATTTACTGGCATCACCGATTTAAGGATGTTGAAAACCAACACGCAATATTACAAAACTTACTTTCAACTCGCGGTTTGAATGAATGAAAAAGCTGAAACTATAGTATTTTTTAGAACAGCATACAAATTCTATGAAATGAAATCATACACAAAAGCACGTCAAAAACCTAGAGCTCAATAATCAAGTGAAATTTGATGCATGTGCGCAAAAATGTGCGTGTTTCTATACGTACAACCGAAGCACGTAGGAAAATGTGTGTGATGTACCAGTATTCAAAACGTTTGACTCAACTATGTTGGCATAACAGGTGCACATCTCGGTTTCGCATAAGCATACCTTTGATCTCCACAAGGATATATTAATTTTGCCAAAGTCAATGCAGCACTGAAAGGTTGCGGTTCTTCCAAAATAAAACACGTTACACATCTTTAGACACCAGTGGATGGTTTTACATGGCCTTGTTCGGAGTGAAAGACGAGGTCAAATATTCCAATCCAATTAATAAAATATTTCCCAAGTCCCTAAGCTTAAACTAGGAAAACGAAATGCGCGCGGCAACGCAAATTTAGTCTGAAGAGCGCAATAGAAAGTGGCTAGATGCTGTCGATGGATCGTTGCTTGTATTGGTGAAATAAACTACCATTTATTCTACTAAAATTGAATTTCTGACATTGTAAGGAGATTCAATGTTACTATGTATGCACAACTAAACCATGTAGTTATGAAATAATTGTTTTTAACAAAACGGCGCTCTTGAAGTATTCGTACCAAGATGGCGCACAACCTGAACATCGTATGTTTACCAGGTTAGGGTTCAGGATGTGCGTCATCTTGGACCAAATACTTCAAATCCACTTAAAAAAAATTGCTCAACATTACATACTCCACACCCACCTGGGTATCATTATATATGTCATATACATTATATCTAAACAATGAAAAAAACTTTATGTCCCAAAACAATGTTGAGGCTCGACTCTGCCGGACTATATTGCAAAGGAGATGTGTGCGAAAAAAACTTTTTAAGAAAAAAAAAAAAACTTATTTTCTTTACACCTCTAAAATACTAAAACACCTCTTCTGCATTATCGCATTTCATATTCTAAATATTATATTAATTTTAAGTTGTGCGTCAATTTACCAGGAATATTGAGTGCACGTCTTGTCAATTATCTGAAAAATTACCGTTGTTCGAGATTTCAAAAAAAAACTTTTAAAACAAAATGGTGTGCCAAGTAAAATGCTAATGAAATACGCCGACTTAATATTCAAATTGCACACTGAAATTTTAACGCTAAAAAAATCATGTTATTATTATATCGTTATATTTTCTACCAAGTTTCTTTTGATGCGTCTCATACAGTGGTACCATTTCACAAATCACTCGATACAATAAAATCAAGCACAAATGCGCTTGGCACCTAACGATGAAAACCCGCTAGATCAAGTGAACAACGCCGGGCAGTTTACAAACTATGGGAAGGAATTTATATCGATGATATATATGTATGTATATATATGTCTCAAATCAAATCACCGGAATGAGATACAACATGCATGACATAACTACAATATAAGTTCAGGCAAAACTTATTTATAGTGTTTATGAAGCCGAGATGAACATTTATTTATGTCTTCATCGGAAACATCGAAATGATCACAGAACAATGTTTACCAAGTTAGACTCACAGTATAATACTTTGGCTGAACCTATTATTCTATCTAAACTATCCATATTATTCTATCGTATATCTATCTATAACTAAATTTTAGTTGTACAAAAATACCGTAGAAGACGATCATTTTTAATTGCAAGCACATGTAAATAAGGGGAATTTTTATAGGGAAGATAAAACGACAATAACCTAGCATGATATTATATTTGCAGTTCGTTGCTATGAACTCCAATCCGAATAAGCAGACACATTGAAATGAATAAATATAAAATCAACTGTTATTCGTGTACTTAATATGCCCACGTTCTGTACTTTTTAAGTAAACTCGACTTAGTTAAAATAATGTACAATAAATTTTTTTTTTTTTACAGTTTTTATTCATTAACGCCAATGACTAACATGTGAGCAATTAATGGATAAATAATCTCGTACGAGGAATATCCCGGAAACTTCATTAATCTCCAACAAATATCAAACAACGTGTGTGCAAAATATTTATTATGATTATTCATTACAACAAAATCATACCACATGAATCAGTTTGTGGAACGAGTGGTTTCATTCTACACCCACATTTGACCGGAAGATCTACCTTGCAATGATCCGTGACGATTTAAAGAAACTCGATGATCTCCCAAGTCTCGCGATATTGATTATCTATCTGTTGTCATATTATGTCGGTTCTTATTTATGTCTTGCCAAGATTGAATTTTTAATCCTATGACTTAACAGTCAATATATGCATGCGTCACTGGTGTGAAATTGTTATGAAAAATGTATTTTTCCATAAGAAATTTTGACTCGTATATTTTGTATCCCCCCAATAAAATGAGAAGTAGAAATTTTTTTTATTTCAAAATTGACATTAAGAAAAAACAAACAGTATAAATAGGCTATGTAAGCAAACTATATGAAATAGCATAAAACCGTATATAAGTTGGATCAAATTTTCCACACTCATTCGGATACAAGAATTCTTCGGAACTTTTTAATTTCTAGAAATATAAACGCTTTTAAAACTCTTGTGCTATAAACATGCAACCAGGATAAGAACAGAGTTTTGGCAGATTATCATGCCGATACTATATCTCTAACTTTGCCGATAATTCTATACTTAATAATGGTAATTATTTTCGATTTGTCTGATTCCAATATTTTCAAAATATTGTGTAACATATTGATGGCGTGGTTTTCAATTCTCCAGGTACTGAAGATATATCAAGTACGTTGATATCAATTTCAATTCAGATTCGAGACTGCGGCTTCATTTATAAAATACTCGACCCCAAAATAACCGATACCTTGCCGATATTCCTATTTGTAATGAATATGTAGGTATATCTACAGAGAACTTTCAACCTCGCATAGGTACATATGCCATACTGAGAATACCAACCTATTTATTTTACAGTCTCTAAGGATTGTCATGAATTGATGAACAGCTCGATGTTGTTACCTTAATTTTCATTTTAATCCTATCTGTGCATTGTTTTGTGTAAATTTTTTGTTACTGAAGAATGAAGTTTTGAATCTTTAAGTTGTTATACTTTTACCTTTTGTTATTTTTCCTATCTAAATTCGGAAATAATATCATAGCTAAGCATGTTTTATCTATATTCTTTGGCAAAGATGTTGTCGCCATCTTAATAATTCAATACACAATTAACGTAGTTTTCGAAGCCAACTCGTTTCAATTGCGATTTGTCTTTTTGCAATCACTTTTTACAAAACCAACGAGAATCATCCTGTCAATATGAATAATTTAGGTCAAAAGGGAATACAACGAGTGCGACAGGTCATAGATTATGAGGTTGACACTGTGTATTTACTTATCAACAGTAAATTTTATACAGTAACTTATCGAGTAAATTAAAATAATAAGCAATCGTATAAATGATCCAGAAGGATTCGTTATTATAAATTCGAAGTTCTAAATCTTGTTCGTGTTGTTAAACCAATTAGGACGGAATTGAAAAATTAGCAATTAACCAATAATGTTGCCCTGTGAATTTTTAGTCTTTGGACGATTATAAAATAGTTACTTGCTTTCAGTCTAGAACGAATTGGAATGGTATTAATAAATCATAAAACTTTGTAACTAACTTTGAGTTTATTTTGATGCAAATTGTACTGCGCCATTGATCAGCAGCAGAACGAGACAATCATTCGGGCAATTTCTCCTTTCCTTTCTCCTATCATTTAATCCAATTAATCAAGTGGTCATTTACTAATTGGTTTTCAGATTTAATTTGTTGTACCCGGCCATGCGAAAGTAAATGGCGTAGAATCACTCACGATTAAAGAATGATCCACTATACATATATTTTCAATTCTCATGTGCTCTGCGTGTGTTTAGTACTTTATACTATTTTCCAACGATTTGAGCAAAATTTGTCCTATTATTTTTGTTAATGATGATAATTGAGAAACGAGCTTTGTTCTACTACACTTTGTTTTCTTCCCCCCTAATTGCGACGGAGTTTTGAAATATTCAAATGTAATTTCAGGCCAGTGCTATTCATATCTGCGCTGCAATAAGCCTGATTAGAAAAGGTTATGGCAATGGCCTCTAAGATTCGTGTTTTTCAGTGCAATGCTCTCTAAAATATTAAAGTTATTATTCCAAAATGTTTTTATTCACAAATAATGATATGAAAAGAAGATTACCGATATAACAATATATTCTATTGTGACTTCGTGGCTGCAGGTCTTTGAAGCATTTCAATTTGAGAGTTTAGAAATCCAGATCAGATAGATAGAAACCAGTGAGTTTACTATTCATTTTGTGCAAAGCGTATGTAATAAATAGCCATTTACCACGGAAAATAAAAATAATTCTATAAAACTATTCTTCAAAAAACTTTCATTTGAAATTTTTATTGAAATTTATGAAAATCATGATATAAACCACTTTTATTCGGTAAAATGTATTTGGCAGCGTGATTGTCTATATATGTAATTCAATTTTGATTTATTTGCAATTGAAATATGTGCTACAGCAAACTGTTCGCTAACGATTCAATGACATTGCTTCAATTTTTAGACCAATGTGGTGCTCCAAATTAATAATATTTCAAAAAATAATAGCTACCTACGTACAAGTGGATTTTCTAATTCATTGTTTAAAGTGAAAACACCACCAAATAATCATATATCAAAAGTGCTATCGATGTGTGGCGCACTCTCAAAAACCATGGCTCGACCAGAGAATAAAATTTCTTTTTGGTGGAAATTGATCTTATGACTAAATTTTCTTTTGTTATCATAGCATATCTAACATGGTGTGATAATATCCATTATTGTTTCGTAATCTGACAGTATTAGATGCCTTGATCGGTAGAAAACGATCGTTCATCCAGAAAATATCCATTCTTTTGTCACCAGGGAATAATAAAATTCCAATTCTTTGCGAAGATTAGTTCCGAAATTCATTTATTTTTCCCAAAAAGATTGCGTAAAGATATTGTCTGTCCCGTCTAGTAAAATTTCCTAAGTATTTTTTCAAATTTTGTTAACACCAATTACGAAGCAGACAAAGCTAACATTAATATTTTATGTCGCCAATTAGGCCCATGTAAACGAGTATCACCGCAAGAATATAATACGAGTATATCCCATAAAAAACGTTTGCTAGAGTCAGTGATGCTAGAGCATCTTACAATGTTAACGTGGCGTGAGAGAATCTGGAAAACGACATTCTAAATAATAGCATCATGGATGTTTTGAAAATTGATCTGGGATCGCTTGACGATGACATTAAATGACGGAAGTTTGCTGTTTAAGAAAAGTGATAAATACCGTCATGTAACTCTTTGTAGGAATGGCGGTTTATCCCACCTGTTTTATTATAGACAGAAACATCTCTGTTGTATGGTCCCACATAAGATAAACCTAAATCTTATTTCAAGAATCGAATGGGACATAAACTAGGCAGAATTAGGTGAAAGTTGCATTACCTTTTTATCATTTCATAGTGCGTAAAGTTACAATGATCTATTTCATTCTAATTATTGCTGAATCAGACTGATTAATAATAATAATACGTTAAACAGAATAAGTATAAAAAAAAATCGATTCCTATTAGTGATATAACGTGATGCAATTTATTCGCTTTTATTGAATTCTAATTCCAATTTTTCTATTGTTTTTCGAAGAAAAGAGCAATATATAGCTATTGATCAGTAGATTAACAATATATATTGAAATCCTAATACGAAAAGTCAAGTATTACACAATGCAATACTTCACGAGAGCTCTATAATAGGTTTTATTTTCAATTCAATTGTATTACAAATTTCATTAATAAAAATAGAGAGCTAAACAGTAGAAATAGACTAGTTTCGTGGGTAAAATAAGATAATGTCAACACTGTCTTGGATTAAATGGAAAGAACACATCGACGAATCAAATTTGAGCAACAAGTAAGTTATTCTTGTAACCTATTTATAATTTTTCGATTAGATTTTTTTCTACATAATGTTAAACCTTCTCAATAATGACGATAAAATTGTGAGTGTATTAAATTATAAACCAACAACGTCATTGTGAAAAAATTCGAGAAAGTAGTGAGATAAATATTGTGAATATAACATATTGTGAATATTAATATAATTCTGTAAATTCAACTATTTTTGTCCAATAGTCTTGTTTTCACCACCCTATACAGTCGTACCGAATATAAATAAGAGAACCAACCAATGATTGAACATTTTGTGTATTTTTTCGTTGACAAACGTTGACTAATCTAATGACGTCATAGTGAATAGCGTGTTTAGTTCATGAGTTGATGAAAAGTTTTTTATTTATCGTTTTCTTTTTATGTTGGATTCATAGTGAACTAACTGTTCATCCTCATACCGGGAGCGCAGCTAAACCCCCTTAAACGTTAAAGATGTGTATTTTTCACATTCTGTCATTAAATTTCAAAAAATGTAAATGACAGTTTTACAGAAAATTTACTCGAGCAAATATAATATTTGGTACATTCGTTTTTTTTGGTGACCGTACATTTGAACCCATGTACATTTGAACCCATGCGTATATCCACGGGTTCAATCTATATGCGGGTGCTAAAACCCATGGGTTAGGGATAGTATGGGTTTAACTATCCGTGAAACAAAAAAAAAATCCATAGGTGCAATAGCATACAGGTGCAATTGTCATGGGTTCAAATGTACGTGGGTTCAAATGTAATGGAACCGTTTTTTTTAACTAACTTATGATCCTAATAAATGGAATGAACTGAAATTCTCTACTTTATGACAGCCTTTTTGCAATGAACTTCCTGCTTTTGTCAATAAATCATCAGGTATTCTAAAAATATATATAAAAATATATTATTCAAAAATCTAAAATTATATTATTAGAATCAACGTAATATTGATTTCATATAAAGACTTTTCAATTTCTTGCGAACAATATAAAAATTTAGAACAAAACGTGAATTTTGAAATCTTCTAATACTATTTATTTAACTCGACCAGCATATATATATATGGCGAAATACCTGTTGCCACTATTCAAAAAAACAGCTTTACCTAGTTGGAAGGTTAGTTCGCGCCCGAGTCATATCAATAAAAATGATGAAACGCATTCGTTTTCCTGTGGTTTTGAACCAAATTTGAGCAATCTGAAATAAATGTCCCACAAATAGGTGAAAAATAATTCTATGTCTTCAAGTTCATTGAATAAAGTCATGTTCTTCCTACTAAAAGTAAAATAAAATATATGTAATTCACAAAAGATCGTATCGCGTATCCGTGTATTGTATCTTGAGACAATTTCGTTTGAAAAGATTATATTAATACACAGGGGAATTGCTGTCATTGATTGTTTCATCCATGATAGATGTTATCAGGATTATGATATTTTTGAAGCGCTCGTCTCATCAGGCGCAGTGACAGCCGACAATATTAATTATAAAATAAATGAAAAAAGAAACACATACTTGAACTCAGCTACTTGCATCGAGAGATAGATACTGACGTTATCGGTCGGTCGATGTGTTAACGCCTATCAACCTAACGTGACATACCAATTGCATTATATCAAATACACAGAATTCTGATTTAATCAAGCTACTTGCAGCAAATACGAGAAATACACGAGCGACGAGATTGCATAGCGAATAAAGCGTTAGGCTGTGTTGGCATCGAAGATTACACATTTCGGATTCGAGTCCTATGCCCCTCACTTTTTCCAAGGTGTGATAAATTGGGTGGTCGTATACTATAGGCGGTACTGAACTGGGAAGATTTCGTTCCTTCCAATTAACAGTAGCTCCTAACATATCGCTCGGAGCGTAACGAGTAAATATGAATCTTACAAAAAAGAGAATTATATAATATAAACGACAGAAGTAAAAACATTTTGCACACAACATCCAACCGGCGAAAGAACATTTAACGTATTTTATCAAACGTTACCAAAAGAGAGTTCGCGCGCAGAGCTTATAATTGTCTTTATAACTGTTGCGTCATCATTCAAATAACATTTTAGGAACAACGAATCTCGCGCGATGACTTCGTCCTAGTCCTTGAAAGCACAACGTTGAGTAAATTCGTTTCTTTTGGCGATAAACTTTCCTCTTTTTTTGGTTTATGATTGTCGAAAAATTCGCAAGGATCAGTATGTGTATTTCATAATTAATGTGTGAAGAACCGTCTTAGCCGCGAGTAGCGAAAATCTACGAAATACTTAACATTAATCATTGATAATGTAAGTTTAGAAAAATCACCCTCGAGTTCAACAAATTGATTAAATAAGACGGATTGACCATTGCAATCCCGGATCGCAGTATGGATCACAAAGTGGGTAAAGAGTAATTCCCGTTGACATTATTGTCAGTGCGTTGGATCTAAGAACAATAAATGTCGCAGATTTAAAAACATCGGTTGTAAATCTCATGACCACCACATCACTCAAGTTGTAATTTGGGTGAGATTTTGACAGAGCAAGAAAAATTCTAGGTCTTTCAAAATGTAGATTCCCACATACCACTTGTCTCATTTGCTTAATCGTGATTAAAAAAAACATTCCAAAGTGCCGTATTTCTCACCACTTGAGTATCACGATAGATTACTTCTAATCCAAGCGTATTCGTTTTGTCAGACGTTGGTAATGGCAACACATATTTTTGCTTTGGCGTGGCTAAAGAACTCAAATTTGGTGTATACGTCTGTAATCGTTTAGAAGATCGCCCGATGAACGTTTACTTTAATTTGTAATAATCTGATATAATCTCATATAGCGATTTGAGAATATATATTTTGTTTATATTTATTGATTTTTCGATTTGAAAGTTATGCTTTATATTATTCGAATATTTTGTGACTCGATTGTTGAAAATAGAATTTAACGAAACAATCGTCAACAAAGTCACTATGAAGAAACCTCAGATAATAACACACACAATATACAATAATATATAATACTATAACTATAATAACAAAAAATCCACATTTACGGAACCTAAAGTAATTTTATTATACTTTAGTTATCTTATGGAAATGAATCGTTTAAATGGCGTTCTAAAAGGTTTATCGAGCCGCCATGTAGACACATTCCAATGCAGGGGATGTACTATTATTAGGTGTAGGGAGTGGCTGTTTTACTGACAGAAATCTTGAAGTATCTGTCTATCTGATACTACATTATAGATAATGACAATAACAATTTTAACTCTTAACTTCATTAAACCCAGTTCTAATTGTGTAGAAATTTCTGTATTCAAGTAAAAATACCACCATATGTGATATTTTCAAATGAGATCGGTTCAAAAAAGCACGTTTGCTTTCATATTTACCACAAAATGCGATAAAATATACTGCTTGCATGTGACAGCCAGGAAAAGAAAACAGGATTTAGCGTGACCATTTTACACTCCCCAGGGATCACAATTGACACGAAAATCGGTTTCCATTACGCTTCTCATACAATTAATTTTAAAACTAAATGTATTGAAGCTCTATAGGGCATTGTGGATTTCTAAAGCCATATGTTTCTGGCGTATCTCAAGTCTTAGTCAAAATTAATCTTTTGTCTCTTGGCCGAATGGATGAGTATTCTCAAGTCGGACGGTACTTTGCAATTTCAATACAAAAGAGATTATTTGAAGAGGAGATAAAGATTAAGGGCTGTAATCGAAAAGCATTTTTGGAATCTGTCAATTTAAATATACTAATAACGCGGCGTTCTAGTCTTCAGGTTCGGTCTTGCGCTATTTAATGTAATCTTGAAAAAAAAAAACAGGCTACCTATATTAGTAGATGTTTTTACATTTATTCCCTTACCAGAAAATCGATTCATTAGAATCGCGTATTTGACCAATTAAAACATCTTTTATTAGTTGCATTACCTAGGATCGCAAAAGGCCATTTTCATGGCTATCCTATAACGTTTATTCATCTTACTTCAATCTACACATATTGTATAGTTTTCCCCAAACCAAACTATAGCTGTTCATAGCCATTTACATTGCAAACCCCACTGATTGAATACTCATGCATTGCATGTTTCCGGAAAAAAAAAACATATTTTCGAGAGGGCATTGGCCTCGGTTGCACCTGAATAATTAATTTGGGATTAATTATTTGTCTCAGAACGCGAGGCAGACGAACAGAATTACGGGCCTAATTTGTTATAACGTCATAGAGCAGCTAGAGGTTGAGTTAATGTAGTTTCGTAAGAATATTCTGTGTTACGTAAGTTATTTTTGGAAGTTATTGAAAGCGATTTTTGGTTGTATTTTTTCGAATACTATATATATATATATTATAATAGGGATTGGTGGCCACATAGGTCTGGCAGATGTTGATAAATGAATATCCAAATACAGGCAGATCTAACTCAACTTGAAGAACCGTCATATTTACAATCAAGACTCTTTAATGTACACAAAATTGACGTCGCCAAATGAACATATTCGACTTCATCAGAATATGTACATTACGCATTCACAGTATTTACTCGGGATATACCTTCAGATATAATGCTTCAGTCTTTGACCACATATTTTCCTAATTTCAACATATCATATTGCATAGCTTTCTACGTTTATCTTACATTTTTAATAATATTGAATCAATCATATCTCTCAGTGGGAAGATATAGATAAAGCAACTTTTGGTATACTTGTTGTGTATTGGTGAAACGCGTGTACAGAAATCACAAACAGAACTATTGCGCACAGATGAGTTCGGTTTACCTTATGCTGCTGAATTAGAAGACTACTAAATTTTGCAGCTGTTTCACATCTTATCTCTATACATGGCTTTGTATTATCAGGCACTGAAATGTAGAAAATACAGAAATATTTGTGTATAAAGCCTATAGATTTTACTGGCGATGCCGTGAGTTTCGAACTTGACCCACATTGGGTCCAAAGCGTTATTTACTAAAATAATCAGAAATAAAAACAATATATTTCATACATTTTAACAAATTAGTTTTAACGAAACGCAATGAAACGACAAATAAAATCAGGTACACTTTTTGATTGAAATTGATTTTGATTCCAAAGACGCAACCTTTTTTCCAATAACTTGCAATAAAAAGGTTATCGCTAATGGTTAACGAATTACCGCACTATCGGAAAACTATAGGTCTTGGTGCTGCTAATTCACAATCAATGGGATGTCTCCTTTGACATTTCAATCAAACCATTGAAACATCGATCGCTAACTTCCAGGCTTTACGTGAATATATAGACCGCTAATTAACAAGAGTTCGAACCGTCACACACGGTAACGTCACCGTCCTTGAGATTTAATCGTCATTAGCAATAAGCTGGTTTCAGTGATGCAAAAGGTAGTAGGATAGGTTTTACAAGTCTCTTGTACTCGATTACTAGAATCAAAACGGTTTAACATAGATTTTAGATAGTATGCAAGAACTGGAGTAATTGTGTCACATTAGGAGGTATAACCTTTTTTAGTGTTGAGATAAATGCAATGCAATTAGACCACAACCATTGCGGGTAGTGCAACCTGAAAAGCTTTCTACGTAATGACCTGAATGATGTATTTAGCTATTGTGATTTGGTAGTTAAAAAGGAAAACTGCGATCCCTGCGATTGAATTGTTCTGTAATAGGAAATATGTATTTTTTTCCATATTCCTGATTCTTTTTTCTTGTAGCCCGGTTGATAACCTAACACTTTTCTCACAAATTTTTTTTTTTATATAGAACCTTTGGTGGAAACAATCAGAAAATAATTCAGAACGAAGAGATTAATTCCCAGATCAATTATCCTCGTTACGGGAGTCTTGTAAGGCTCAGTGGAAAAGAAGGGGGAATAGTTTCTACCTCTTTAAAATCCAGCTTTAAAAAGTATCAAGTTAGCATCGACCGCCGTGAATCAGAGGTTGGGCCTAGGCCGGATGCACAAAGCAAAAAGTCTTCGGTAGAAAATATTGAATATTGCAATCGGGGCGTCAAAAGTAGAACAACAAGTCGCGGACAAAAGAACGCAAAGAAAATCGGGAAAATCCTTGCTAATACTACAATAGGAAGTCCGTCTTTATGCAAGTATGCCAAATCGCGTATTATTTGCAGCTTAGACATCGAATTCGATAAAGAAAATCGAAACCATTCGCAAATCTGCTCTAAGCGAAGATCTACTATCGACATGGGTATGCTTGAAGGTAACAGTCATTGTGAACTATGTGCTGGAGGTTCATACATTGAACATGATCTTCTTGATAAGTTATCAGATGAAAATATGCGATGTACGTCATCAGTTGACAGTTCAGATTGCGAAGTATGTCGTCGAATAAAATCTGGAAATACCGGAAATGGAGACGAGCCCATCGAAGAGGAGTATATGTATCCAGTACATGAAATAGCTATCTCTGAAGTTGATCAAGTGCCTTCCTGTTGCAATAAATATTGCGGTAAGCAGAACGTAAATAAAGAATAGTCATGAAAATACGAAGGATTTTAAATTAGGCGTCATTGACGCCAATATTCTATGTCAAGATTATAGATAGATATAGTATGTATATCTTAAAAGTGCTGTTTTGCATTAAAAAAAATATATGCCTAGACTTAACCATGACTTGGTGATGATAGCGTTTTAAAGTGTTCCAAGCTGAAGCAGGAATATACTAATATTTGAAACGATGAGTACATGGATTAGCTAGGATTTCCATGTTTATCTCCACGACATGCAGCAATAATACGGTTCAATCACGATATCTCGTGCAAAATGAATATGGGAATAGCTAGGCTGGTTTAAATACATCGAACAGGATAGTAGGCGAATTTGTGATCGCACGCGCTGGTGTAAACCTACTTGCGGCGGCGTGAAGTTCAGCAATTCCCCATCACGGAATTCGATCGAGAGGATTTGAACCTTAGAAGCCGCAATAAATAATCAGCAAGAACATGGCTGCTTCTGACACTCCACACAGCGGTCTGACCGAAATTATTGAAAGACATTCGTACAATAGTTAATGTGGTAGAAGTATACAAGTTATTGGGAAAAGCTAGCGTCAATATTGGTATTAGGAGTACATAAAACAATTTTGTTTTGTTAATTTGCTCAGAAAGAGTTGCGGATCTTTACAAGTAAATAAAAATATAACTGTTAGAACAATCGTAAGAGGTTTTATGGGTTTAATTTTCATGGTGTGACGAAGATCCATAGTGAATAGTTCGGATGTCGCTACAGGCAGTGTATACACAATGCATATCGATGTGAGTGACATATAACGTTGAATTGTAATTTTTTCGTGTAAAAATAACTTGCCTAATAATGTAAATATACAAAACTGTGATTTTAGTTTATAATTTCTTTTATGTAAGAAGCCAGAATTTTTGGACAGCCGTACGATTTCAGGGCTCTGTGGACCTAATCATTTAGAGTTCGTTAACTGAGGAAACTATAACACCTCATTAACTATGTTATAAAAGATATAGTTGGCTATGTATTGAATATATATAATTTTGATGGCGTACTTGAGGTGCATAAATAATATAATTACGAGGAATCATATATTCATAATCATGCATGTGCCGTGTTAATGCACTGACAATGAATTGGATCATAAAAAATTTATTCCATGTCGTTAGCATTAAAAAAATTTGAAAAATTGGTCAACATTTCAATGATAGTATTTGTAGCTTTAAACAATTACCGATGTTTGGTTGTGAATTATTTTGTACGTACCTGCCGCTGAACGGGGTTTAAATTAGACCACTATGGGACAGATAACCACAAACATAATATGATGATGCAAAACGATAAATGTAAATATAAAAAAAACGTAAAATTTTTGATTATATTTATATTATTTCCTACAGGGCTGATTGAATTATTTTTTATTTATAGAATGTTGCTGTATTTCATCAACTGACGGGGACATGCTACCAATGGAACCGCCAATATCATCTTGCAGACGATCAGAATGTTGCCCCAATGACTCTTATAAGATAAACAGCAGTTTTCATTATCGAAATGAAAAGACAAACCTGTCACCGAACAGAATTTCTCGCCGTTCTCCTTTTGGGAATCTCAATAAATTTTTTAGTCGCAAATACCGAAAATTCAGGAAAAGGTTTCGGTCGCGATCACTGCCTCCTCGCAACTTGTTCGTCAGTGATGAATTTCCAAATTCTTTGGTTCATTTAGATAATAATATGAATGAAAAGTGTAGCATATGTGATCGTTTGGAAGCAGAAAAAGACTCTGATTCTCAATGGGAAGCACTTTTAGCTTGTAGTTGCAAATCGAAATCACTTTTAGATGTAGATAAACTCAGTCTTTATGTTAACCCACCGCCTTCACCCCATAACATACGACGCATACATAGTGCCTGTGAATGTTGCCAAGAAATACATTCGCCTTTACTAATAGAAGATAGCGAAACGGATGAAATCTGGTTAGAAAACTCATCAGCTGTGGATCATTCTCAACAAGAATATGTCAACGAACACGATTCTTTTTGCGAATCGCCATTTTGTGAACAATGTGCCCAAGAAGCTGAGCAATATGATCCATGTTGCCAGGAATGTGATGCGAACTTTGTTAGACAAACTGATAGTCAAGAACTTGTTTCAGCTGATATTATGACGCTGGCCGATTTGAAAAAATATGGTGGAATGACGCCAAAAAAGGTAGCGATACGACAGCCAAAATCAACGCCATATAGAAGCTGGCGGAAGCATAGCAGAAAGAGCAAAGTAGCCGATATTTCAAAGTCTACACTAGCGGATAGGTGAGTCACAATTTGTTTTCTCCGTCAAGTAACCGGTTGTAGAACTCATCATCTATCTTATTGTTTCCAAGCTTTAACTACTGGCATATTTATCACAGGAGTAAATCTATATATAGCAGCTATTGCTCCAGTGGTCTACATTAAATCTTCTATTAGTACTCTTCCCACTTTTAGTTGAGGCTTCGGACCGGTTCGCTGATCTCAAAAAATTCCGTGTGACGATTCTATAGAACCGGTGCGAACCGGCTGAATTTCACCACTGCATAATATATATTTCGCAAAGAAAGCTTATTTGTAAAACATGACGGTACTTAGTCGCTGGAAAACGAAAAATTGATAAAATCAAAATTTCCGATACGCGAATTCATCACATATTTTCACGATACAGACCATGGGTTTGCTTTAAATTATTAATAAACGAAAACACAAGACGATGAATATTTGAAATGAGTGAGTGAAATGATGAAATAGTGAGTTATTTTATGATGTTCAATTTATTTATCTTATAGACATGATCTTGATAAATAAAAACTATCTGTTTTCTTGAGAAATCGCCATGACCTGGAATTTGTTTTGGGAATTAAATAGAATAAAACTATTTAAATTCGGCCACTACCTGAAAAAAAAAAAAAAGTGACATAACAATAAAAAAGCCATGTCTATTGTTCATATCGCCCATAACGAAAATGCAGCAAAGATAGTATATTGGAATACTATGCAAATATGATTCTACAAACAAATTAATAAGATACAAGTAGGAAACAACAAGAAATTCACCATTTCGGAAGGTTGGTATCTGCATATCGAGAACGACACATTATGCCATTAACATTGTGCACAACTACAACCAATAACCGTGGAGATACGGTGTTAATTTAAGAAGTTGACACGCGACGGTTACGTGATTTTTTCTGCTGATTGACTATTAAAACTGCCAGAATTCAACCTACAAATTGTTTTTTTCTGTCGGGAATGCTGTTGAACCCGGTAGATATTAGGTACCAAATAGAGAAAATCATTAAATATATAAAATGTGATCGTAAAATTGCTTCATAGTACTGAGTGAGTACGCAACTTTATTTGAGTTCGTTCGTCGCATTTTACGATTAATATTTATTTTAGGTAGCCGTATGCATATAGTATATAAATGTGCATACTATGTCATACCATCAATATTTTTGCTTCTATTAAACTATAACTCTTACCATTTTATGCATAAAAGACGAAAAATACGAATATTAGTGTTTAGTTTAAACCATTTTATGCAGTATTTTTTTTTACAAAATATCGCAATTAGATTCGATCAAAAACATCTTTGTATCTGTCGTCTTGAAACAGTTTTATAAATTCTGCAGCAAAACAATACGATAAAACAAATATTATAGAACAATAATTTCATTAGTCGGATTCAGTCGATTTCAAGTCATGCATAACTGGGCCATCAGATCGATAGGTTAAATTCCATTTAGTGATTCAGTCGATATCGACACCGTGATTGAAAATTGAACAGACAATACCGTAAAAAGGTGACATAAGCTATTCTTAAAATCCTAATTGTTCGTTTCAGGGTTATATAATATTATTTTAGTTATTCTAATTGAATCGCAGGAGATTGTTTGCTCCAATTTCTTCGTCAACACAATATGTAACGTAGTAAACCTTTATTTCATCCGTTAATCCTATTTAGAGGCTTCAAATTTACACTTTCTTGTTTCGTGCTTGTATTTTCCTGTCAGAGGTTTCGTAGAATATAGAGTGAGCCCAAGTTGAACCCTGTTATAGTAAAATGCAACACTGTGTACGGTAGTTTTTAGCTTGAATATGTTTGTTCTAATTTACAACCTGAAAATGTGAAAGATCAGATAATTTTATACTGTCTGCATCCATTCCAAAATCGTTGTATCTTATTTAAATAGTCTTATTCTTTTGAGATGGCAAAAGTAAAATAATAGATGATGAATGTATTATTGTGTATGTTTCAAACGCGATGTAACGAACAAGAGAACTATGCTCAAATATATGGACGAGAAGACCAGAACGAACCAGTAATCAATTTTTTCACAATACCGGTAGTCTTTCTTACCAAAAAACTCTCGACTTCGCTGACCACAAGCTCGCTAATATGCGATCGCGGAACCACCACGCGGTGCGCAATTTTTAATTTTTTGATGACGACATCACATTATGTATCATTGTTTGCTTGTCCATAATATATATAATTGTTTAAGAGTATATAAAATAGAATAAACTTTTTTTTTTCAGATTTTTTGACAATTTTGCATTGTGTTTCCAATGCGTATATTCAAAAGCTGGAATTGGAAGTTCAAATTCAGGAGGGTCAGGTTCAGACGACGAAGGTGACGATGAAGAACCCGAACCAGGTGACATCAGTTTATATGAACATGTGGAATATCGGTCTTACAATATATAGAATCCAGCGTCCGAATGTATTTACAAGTATTATTAATATTTTCCCTAGTATAACATATTCTGTAACAGGCTAAAAAAGAAGCTATCATTTTTTCTGCTCATTTAATAAAACATCATTCATTGTAAAGAATGATACGCGAGGTCTAGTAAAAGAGAACTAGATTAAATACCTAACCCGTATCCTTCATGATGCCGAAATTTGCCAACATTTCTTACCTTGCCTTCTTACCCACCATACCTTCTTATTAACAACACATACAAGCAAAAAGTAACAATGTTTTACGTATATCGTTTACCGCGTGTTATGAAATAGATCATGAAATTTAGGAAAGTTCAATCGAAAGAAAATATTACTGGATTTCTCCTGCAACAATCAAGGTTTGGATAATGCCCCTCGCGAGCTTGTAAGGCATAAACGTAGAATCTCATAGAAAGTAATAGCTTTCTGGCGATTACGTCCATTTTAAGTACTGAGAGTTGATATTCATGATGCGTCGCAGACGTTATTGTAATTGATCTGATAGTCGAATGTGACTCGATATAGTGTCTGTCCGGAGAAAAGCGATTTTTCCCGCACCAAAAAGTCGACCTAACAACAAAGATTTATTTTGCCAATATTAATTTTCTCTCCTTGTTATTTATAGAAGAAGCGTATGAAGAACATGGAGAGGCTGTAAGTGATGACGATGATTCGGATGGAGGAGATTCTGGTAGTGGATCTGATGATGATGAGAGTATGAATAGTGCGGAATTATATGATGATACAGCCAATGCCTTAGATGCCAAGTAAGATTCTTTATGACTGCTCAAAAAATTGCTTTCTCTAAAAACGCTCCAACCTTTCACGTTACAGGCTCATTCAATTCAATACAGTATATATATATATACTCATAAACTACATAATATGCTAAGGCAAAACTGCGGTCTTCAAATTTGGGCTAGGTTTTTTTTTTAGTGTAAGATACATTAGTAAAATTTCTACTGTAATTGTATCTATAGTAATCTTAGAAATATTTCAATCCACGTGCAGTCGTCCACCAATGAATTATGTATTCTTCCATTCTCAATATTTATATATACACAAAAATGAACTTAATTAATTGTTCTTTCACGAGAAGTGTGTTGCCGTTCCATTGTACGATTTGTATAGGAATGATACTAATATATTTGCTCTGTCCGATTACTATTTCTACGATATATTTGTATTATCCTCTTATTTTTGCTCTTTTTCTTCCCAATAAGCGAACCGAAAACGTAACCTGTGTTTATTGACTAAACGTCTTTACGCATCAGACGTTGTGTCTTTCGTTACACGGATAATTTACCACGTTAATTGGATTTTCTCAAAATTGGACTCAAATCGAGCGGAAATCGAATTTCAATCACATCAAATTGAATCGCAGGAAAAATACCTATCATTCCTGCCGTAATCTATATCGAATATCCAGCAAAGCGAATGCACTCGGTCATTAGATAAACACTTGCACTTTGCTATTTTTATTTCAGAGACGTGAACAATATTGAAGGTTCTGACGATGGTGGAGATCCAGGATCGGAATGTACGGACTCCCTAACTGAATTAGGTTCAGATGAATCTGACGATGAAAGCGAATCTTCAGAAGATGACATTGACAGTTTCCTAGAAGCAGGATTCGGTGGATCAGGAGACAATTCGTTGCAATCCATAATAATTTACGAAAGAGAATGATGTTAATTTTAAGAAAACAATATTTGTAACTGAATTTGCCGCAAATAATTTACCTTACATTCATAAGTAAAATCATCCATAGAGAATTTTATGCCAAATTTTCGTCTGATAGGTTGCCATACTGACAGCTGAAAGGACAATACTGTTGGTCTGATGTAAGAATCCAATCCAGTTTTTCATTTTTCCCAGGATCAGTTGAATTCAGAAGGTTGAAATCCAAGGAACCGATTTTCTTAAAACCCCCATTGAAACAGAATATGGGTAACAAAGATAAAGGTTCCGTAGTTGAAGTAACAGTCAATTTTCTTGAACTCTGCAATGGAATTTGTAAAAGGAAATTTATAGAACTTTCAAGCTTAGTATACTCGATTGGCAGCACGTGGAGTGAACAGTAGGTTTCATTGGATTAGACTGCAAATATAAAATGTTTTAAAATATACGATTAAAAGTAGAAAGTGCAACATACAGGCGTGTACAATTTCGTAAATTATTGAGTAGATCCAACTACACGCGGTATGGAACACGAACCATTCTGTCTCATTTTTGCGGTATGTGAACTTCCCGGGATATTGCAGATTAGCTACATGAGCAGACAGTTTTTGTATTATATTATATCTGATAGAAAATCAATAGATCAAGCCGATGTGCTTTTTGATGATGTAATTGCATGCACGCGAAATAGATGCAATGAGAAAATAAGCGCAGTCTCTATCTAGTTCCTAATTTTATTTCTTGCCATACTCTGAGGCGTGTAAAACCGGAACTGTCGCTGTTGATTTGAATGGTATTTTGCGGTTATTTCTGCAGTCCATAATTTCTACTAGAATTTCTCAAAAAATGTTTCATGGGGTGGAAGTTTCAGCCATAGTAGTCGGAACATGGGGCGGGTTGCGAAATTGATTACTAATTTTATTGCTTTGAAACTGAAAGTATGAGTTGAGTTCCAGCCAAAAAAAGAATGAGAGCCGCAGAAATCATGGTTTTAGACCCGAAACAAGGGAACATATATGGTACTCGGAATTCGATGTTCAATTAAAATCGTCTGCCGTTTTGTGATGAGTCGACAAAAATCGTCTTGAGGTCATGGTACGTTGAGAAATATTATGGTATAGAATAGATACAATTCGAGTAATATGCTTCAAAATACCACCAAAAATACATTTATGACTATATTTTCGTTTTAATTTTTAGGAACCTGAAGCTTTATCTAAAAAAATAAGGACCCTCTCACGTTGCTAACAAAATTCGCAATGTGTATTATTTTGTTATAATTATGTTTGTAATCATTTAATAGTATTCATTGTCCTTCTACTGCATGTGGAAATAAACCACAAGTCTTTGCGCACTCGCCAGCCAATCGCGACATCGTAATTATTCAACCGCGGAGAATCGCTGCGCAGTATGGTTCAATATATATCGACCTGAACTCATCATTCATTCAAAAGACATACGCACTTACTTTTGTCTCTTTTCCTTTGTAAAAGCACAGCGAGAGAATTAAATATTGCCTGATGTGGTCAGTTGGGATCTAGCTTTGAACAGCAGTATCGTTTCGCATAAACATGTTTTGTTTCGGTAGCGATTGTACGACTGGAGTGTGTTATCACCAGTCCGATTCAGTATTTGCGAACGACAGGGAAAGCTCGTAGTCACAGGCAATGGGAGATAATCTGGTTGCTGAACAATTTTTGTCTTTTGGGCTGTTATTAGTCAGCAATACCAAACAAATAAGTAGAGTAGATAGAGTACAAAAAATCTGAACCCTTGGCAGGCGCTTATATAAAACAGCTATATAACTCAGAAAAGCGTTACTTTTCTGGACTAACTGACGCAAAAGCTGTTTAACAGCTTAAGGCTTTATCTCCATAGTCGATGTTTCACGGTCCAAGACTTCGGTGTCTATTGTATTTCGAGTTTAACCAGATACTACATGTACACTAGTTCAGTACATACTAGTGTGCTACATACACTGATAGTACAGTAGTAGTTTGGTTTAAAATAGCAATATTCACGCTTGGTTGGGTAATATCAATTGGAGACTACACCGCTCTGGCTTCATTTTGTGATGCTGTCCATTGTTACTGGCGTAGTTATTCCTTTAGAATATCGATAATAAAAATTGAATCCAATACGTACGTGCTTTGAGAGAAAGATTTACGCTGGGATGATTTTGAAACAATTCGATCTCAGGCACACTGATTTCAGTACCAAATTGTGGGCTACTGTTTTACTTCATACAGACGCCATTATTATATGATACAGTCAGCTCGTTTATTGTTATCGATTTTATTCGAATTTTAAAACGCCCGAGTAAGAATGAAAAATAATGCGAAAAATGCGTAACGGAGCGTGAACAATTACAAGGCAACGGACAAGAAGATGCTATGTATAACGGACACTTAAAATTTCACCATCAGGGAACGACCTATTGCAACGTAGCATTGGCATTATAAGACAATAGAAAATAAGTCGTTATACACAACCGTTACCGTTATAATGTACACTCAAATTTTACTTTTATTCCCCCACCTAATGATTTATATTATTGATAGTTATTTTGCGATCCGCCATATGACTGAACACAGCATTATTATAAATTTGATCATTTTTATTCCGCAGAATGGCAGCAAAGCGTATTCTACAAACGCAAAAAAGATTATTTTTATATTTGATTAGTGTAGTGTGTGCTATTTTCTTCGGCGCTTGGTGTCATTTTTGTTTTAAAGAAGAATGTCACCAAGGAATCCTTATCAAAGCAGTCTCACTCAGAGACCACATTGCTTTCGGAAGTCAAAAAGTTATTGAGCAAGAAAGATGGAATGTTCGTCAACGAGTAACCACAGACCTCAAACGAAATACGAGAGGGAAAATTTCTCCTCACGTTTTAGAGATAAATGCGGAACTATCCAGATTAGAAAAAATAAGGCTATGTCTCGCTTGCCAGCCTCAAGAACCAGTGAAGACATTTTGCGCTCAGTATCCAGGAAAATATTACTGTCCTTCTTATATTATGATCGCGATACCTGTGTATAACCAAATTGGTTACATTAAATTCACCTCTTCAGTGATCCGTAAATACAATAATATAGCGGAAAATGATATTCACTTATTCAACGATGGATCAGATAAAATAAATGCAAAGACAATGCACAGATTTTATGGAAAATATGTAAAATACTTTTGGACTGCACAAATGTATGGAAAACATTATGTTATCAAACGAGCTCTTGAAGTTTTCATAAAATCAAAATACAAACTACTGATGATATTAGATGACGATATGATTCTCCTGAAACATTGGATGAATTTCATCGAAGAGCATATCACACATACAGACGGAATACTCTCACTTTATCACCCGTCCGTTAACCATAGCTATGCATATGATTGTAAAAATCAACAAGGCGATTTATGCGTTGGAGACTCAATAGCAGATTCTGGATTCGTTTTGACAAAATCTTTTGCTATATCGTGGCTTTCAAAAATTGATGGCGTTAAAATAGTACAAGGATTGAATAGATTACTTCATGATGAATCAAGCCATCTTTTTTATCCAGCAAAATCGCTAACAATGCATATTGGACAAAAAGACCAAGATAAAGAAAATTGTGGAACAAATGAGGTTGCACATAGGTTTAACAGATGTGAATATCCATCTTGGATAAAAGAACAAATCGAATTTTATTTCGACAGATGCACAAGTTCTGATGAAATTTATCCCGATAATCCAGATTCAGAAGTATTCATAACAAAGATGAGAACACGATTATGGGTTAGACCAGCTATTTCATATTCGTTTCTCGACCACAAAGCGACTTATGTCGCTAGTGCCATTGGAAACGCAGCTAGGGTATCCAATGTATATCCGGGGTGGAAAATATGGTTTTTTGTCAATAGTTCCATACCGCTGCCTTATTTGAAATCACTGTGTGAGTACGACATTAAAACTATAGACATAAGTAAAGAAAAATATCCCAGCCAAAAAACTTGGCGATATGCAATCGCATCAGAACCGGTAAAAAGATGGCTTGTAAGAGATATTGACTCCTATTTGTTTCCCAGAGAAAAAGCCACTGTGGATAAATGGATATCATCAGGAAAAAAGTTTTGTATCATAAAAAACAATTCCAGTGAAAATTCATCTGTCAAGTGGGGAGGAACACATGATGCAATACACATCATGCGAGATGAAATAAGCAAGTACTTTGAAAAAAATGTAAATGGCAAAGAAAAAACATTTTTAAAAGAAATTATTTGGCCTTTGGCTAAAAAGTCTGCTTCTGTCATTGCATTTGAAAGCAATAGTAACGTCTTGTGATATTTGTTCACATATCCGCAGATACCTCAATGCATTGTTTTCCACAAAATCTTTTTAAACCAGAATACTCAGACTGAGCAGAAAACCATGATTATTTCAAAATATTACGACAAACAAATTAACGATAATGTGTCATTTTTCTTCATTTTAATATCTTTCAATGTAAACCGACGGAATAAAAAAATAAACGATAATATCGGTCAGAGACCGAAGACTTATCGATCGAACGTTAGGGGATCCCCCAAAACAGCGTTCTTACTCCATAGTGACACCTTGTGTCCCATCACTAATCAATTAATACCTCGCTTATTATACGACATATTTCATCCAAAATCGATAGGCTTCTGGTCCGACATATGCTGAATGCACATGCAAAATTTGGAGCAGATTCAATCTGGCTTTCGTGAGATATCGCGTGCATCTAACAGACAGACAGACAAATACCTATCAACATACCGATTAAAATCGATAAGTAATAATGAATTTGATGTTTCCTACCGCTTAACTGAGGCTATACGTGTTGACATGCTTACGTTTATCAAAGTACGAACAAGATTCTATATGAGCAGACACTGCTAGGTAAGATGCTACTACAGTTTGGAAGAACCGGGATATTTTCCGGTGCGGCATTGCCTAACCATTTTGTTACACATTGGGCAAGTTGGTTAGTCCATGGACATTTGCAGATCCAATATTTGAATCAGAACATGTACTTGAATTCAGTCCTTTTAGAACCCAATTTCCCGTATAAAGGGCGAACGGACTGGAGGCAAGGTAATTTTGATGACTTGTCTGAGGAAATGTGAATCAGCGATTGCATGCTAATTCTTACGGAACTCAATCGCAAGGTGAAGCGACCGATATCTACCAGACGAGAGTGAGAAGTCTCTACCACTCCTTGTTCTAATTTGATTACTAGAGTTAGACTATGCCCAAATCACACTGATTCATTTTGGTAGGATTTTCCGCTGCCACTATCCAAGCTACAGACTCAACCGTAACCGTAGTTATTACGCCGACTAGTTTCTGGAGCCTTTTAGCTCACTATTACCCTGTATTCAACCACTTCTGCAATAGACCTTAGTCATTCAAAACCCGTTCTACGCGCAAAAATAAAAGTGGAATCAACAAAACAATTTTAACATTGGTTGGCTCTTATGGGGAATGGGATCACCAGGGCAGAAATTTGCATTTTTTGTGATTTTTTATTTATCTTTCGTTGTAAACATGGACAGTTTTATATATAGAGTGATTGTTAGATATTCTTCCATATTTTTATGACGATAAACATGGTCAAGTTTTTTGATAATCGTACACTAAAATTTTAATGGGCGTGGTGTTGCCGGTGACGTCACTCCACCTAGA